TATACCAAAATCCTTCTCAATCAGTTCAAAGGAGAGATGCTTGAAGAATGCCATCTAGTGGCTACAAGCAATGTAAGAACAAATACATTTTTTTTTGTTTCATCTGCTAGATACTGTACTATATGCTTGCGAAACTACTACTATTTATGGCCTGCCATATACTTTTAAATCCTATTAATGACACACAGCACACACAGGTATAGATAAATATGCACACAAACATAAGCATTTCCTTATGTATTCATTTAAAATATTTCTAATCCTCCCTTATTGCTAGCAATCCCAGGTGTGGTACAGTAAACCAATTTAAAATCAACAATTATATCCAGCCAATAATAACATAAAATCAACAGCTGCCCAGCGGGAAGGATGTTTAAGACTGATATTACTTGTAATATGTCTTGTGAGGATTTGTATCCTGAAAGATAGGATTAAATAACTGACATGAATAAATAAATGAATGAATGTCCAGTAAGAAATTACGGTAGTAAACAGCAGACAATACATAAATACTGTGTTTTCAGCCTTGGCCTAGAACAAATACCTTACAAATGCCTGATTGTAAGAAGAAATACCTTACAAATGACTCGCCTGCATAAGTGAGTCTTCAGCTGGTGACACAAACCAAAAAAAGAGATGGTGGCAGCTGTATTTCAAAAGGGAGGGCATTCCACATACAGGATGCTACCACAAAGAAGGTTCTCTCCCATCCACCCCCATATAAGATATCAATAGGAAAAAGATGTTTCCAAATTTATCTGGCAGGGGAAGAAACCAAGGATTAAGTATAAACTATTAACAGATACCGAAGAAAGAGGTGGCTTCTCTCTGCCAGATTTGAAATTATATTATGAGGCGTCATGTCTCTGCTGGCTACGGGAGTGGATAAACTTAAAAAATACAGATATCTTAGACCTTGAGGGTTATGATAATAGATTTGGTTGGCATATTTATGGTATGAGAAGACCAAAGCGCATAAAGGCTTTTTGAATCACTTGGTAAGAAAAGCAATTTATGGTGTATGGGAAAAATATAAAAACCTGTTAGAGCAGAAGACACCATGGTGGCTTTCCCCAGTGGAAGTGATATCCTTGAAAAGGACTAATGGAAAAAGTGAATGGTCAACCTAAAATGGGTAACGGGGTAACAAGAAGGGCCTCTCCTGGCAATCTTAACACATGTGTGGGTTAATTCAGGGGAAATGCTCCTCAATATTTAAGTCCCAAGTGCTGCACCGGACTTTATAGGTCATCTTCTGCACCTTGAATTTCACCTAGCTGCATACTGGCAGCCACTCTTCCAGGATCCTATAAGCCTAGGTTCCTTGAAAAGATGGCCTTCATCTTCTGTACTAGCTGAAGCTTCCCACACAGTGCGTCACAGTAATTTACCTGATCAGACATTCAAATATGAATTTTCTTATGGAATTTTTGTTTCCTCAGAAATACAGAACCATAAACCGGCCCAGCCAGCCCTACCACTTGGTAGAGTGAGGTACCTGCCTCAGGCATCAGATCTGGAGAGGAAGCACCAGGGAGCATCAGCAACATGTTGGAGAACAAAGCTATGTGTGCCCCACAGCCTGCCCTGCACCTCCTAAGCAAACTTGCTTCCCTCAGAAATGCTGTCTTGTTGACAGCGCTGAAGTAAAGCTCAACTGCCAGACCAATTGGCTGAAATCGCTTCATGCCACAAAATCTCTAGGGCCAGCAGTCTTGCTTATTAACTTAGCTCTGCTTAAGGACTAGATTTTTTTTTTAACCAGCTCATGAAACAGATTCACAGTGAAATGCTAAAGAAGAATGTGCTTAACCTGGCATTTTCTGTTTCCCAACAAGGGTTAGTGAGAATAAGGTCTCAAATGCAAAGAATATGTAATAACCACTTATGTCGAGCTGTTGACAGAGAAGGGGTGCTTTATGCCAGTTTTCAAGTTTGATGAAAATGGGTGGCATTATTTTTCTGCTGGGAGCAGGAAGGGAAGTTAAATTATTATATTGCCTTGAGGTACTGAGAGTCATAAGTAATATGAAAGTGGCAAAACATCAAGAACACACATTCAGCAGGATCCCAGAAGGTGAGTCAGGAACCAGGAGTTGTGGGTCAAGCAAGTACTTGGGCCCAGAGGCTGAGAACAAAACAAGATATAGGTCTGAGAGACAAGCCAGAAATCAGGACTGATAAGCAAATCAGGACCAAAAGACAAACCAATCATCAGGACTGGAGGATACAGGAACATCCCAGAGCTCAGGAAAACCTTGTTGCAAGGCTCAGTAGGAACAGAAAGCCCTGCTCTTACTCCTTCCTATCCAGAAGATTCCATGACTAGCCAGAGTGAGCAGAGTCAGTCTCAGGCCTGAGGGTACTTCACTGATGTTGCTTCAGGAAGTGACATGATGCCCTCCCTTGCCTGAGCTCCCTTCCTTCTGCATTTCCTCAAGACACATAGAGTTTTCTTAAGTAGCCATAGGGAAGGTTAGGGGTGGGCTGCCTCAAAATTTCTCTCAGGCCATTGATGGCTCCTTCAGAAGTTGATAATATGTGCTCCCTGGTCCATCAATGAATCTGGAAACTAATTGTGCAAGTCTAGTTTCTGAAGCAGTGGCATAGCGTGGTAAGCAGAGGGGCACACCCCACCCCTGAGTTGGCAGAGTAGCCAGGCCAAGAAGGTGTGTGACCACTGCCACCAGGAGCAGCAGTGACAGCAGTCATGTGCCTCACGGGCTCCGCATGCGACCCCCGGCACACGGCTCCACGTCAGCTTCCCGATACACCAGGGTAGGGCAACACTTGCCCTGCTCCGGGCACTGGCAACCCATGCTATGCTTCTGTTCTGAATATTGTTTCATCTACAATTTCATATATGAATGTAATATGTGAATCTGAGCGAGTTAGCTACTATGCAAAATAAAGTAGGCCCTATCCCTATAATGTGTACAAGTGGTGACAAAGAGCCAATACTCCAAACACTGAAGATGAAGAGCCAAAATTAGTTTTGATGAGCTATAAGGTGAGCTAGTCTTTAGTGTGACTACCTAAGCAGTGATCCATGCTGAAAATTGAAACACATTCACTACGCACCCAAGTTTCAGCAAGCATCTTAATGTCGTCAAAAAAGACTTCAAAGTCAAAGCCTGAGGCATCTGCTCCCAGAGGCCTAAAGCTGCATCTTCTCCATTTAGAAGTCTGCTGTTCAGTGATTAATCCTGCTGTTGGAAATGTTAGTGATGATGTAATTTTCCTATAAGAAATGAAAACTTTATTTCTATTCTTTTCTTTTATCATTTGATCTGTCCCCATAGAGTTCTAAAGTGAGAGTTTTGGCACATTTTAGTCTAAACATTTTTTCCCCCATGTGTGAGACCTATAATAAATACCCCGTTTTTATGTGTAGTTGTGCTTCAAAGTCACACATGTTCTTCCTTGGTGTATGGGACGACCGTGTCACTCCAATTACCTAATGTAGCTTTAGTAACTAAAAAAAGGAAAAGAAACATGATACACTGATATACGTGCTATGGTTTATATACTTAAAAGAAAACTGCTGATAAAACAGGCACCATGGATACTAAATCCCCATGAAAACTAAATTTCTATGACACTATTTTTAGCTCCATCCATTTATCATTTATTTTACAGAGCTACAGACAAGGGCTGCATTCATACCATACATTTAAAGTACCATGATACCACTTTAGGCAACCATGGCTTCCCCCAAAGGATTCTGGGAGCTGTAGTTTGTTAAGGGTGCTGAGAGTTGTAAGGAGACCCCATTCCACTCCCAGAGCTATTACTCCCAGAGTGGTCTAATAAGCAATCCCTCTTCTTCACAGGGAATGCTGGGAATTGTAACTCTCTGAGGTGATTAACAACTCTCAGCACCCTCAACAAACTACAGCTCCCAGAATTCTTTGGGGAAAGCCATAATTGTTTATAGTGGCATCATAGTGCTTTAAATATATGGTGTGAATGTGGTCAAGGAGATACAGGCACATAAGTAATTCATTCCATGCCACTTTCCTCAGATTTATTTGTCCCTTGGGATTCTCCCCAGGCCACATTTTTCATCAGCCCTTCCTCATACCCTGTTCAAGTGTTTTTGCCTGGCTGAAATGTGCCCTTGAACTCTGGCAATACTTCTGGCTTGCCTAGATGGAGAACTGAGGCAGTTGTGTAGAAATGCAATTGTTTTTCTTTGTAACTGTTCTTAGAACTGTTTAACTATTCTAGAGTGTTTTTCTTTGTTTTAGTTTTTGTTAATTGTGCATCTGTTTGCTGCCCTGGACTCCTCTGGTGGGGAAAGGCAAGATATAAATTCAGTGAATAATAAATCTGATGCAGAGGACACAACAAAACACATATGACCAAGAATATGACAACTAGAACTTGCTTTTCCACGGTTGGCTCAGCACCCTGAAGGAAAGACAGTCAGAGTTTTGATATTCCAGCCACAAAACAACACCACCCTTCCCTCCCTCAGCCCATCGCAAGCACTCCATGATTGCTGTTCCCCTTTCCCTGCCTCTCAGTGGCTGGCTTTGCTGTGATAGTTGACTGGGGAGCGCAGTTCCAAAATGGCAGCTCTGTTTAAGCTGCAACAAGAGCCTGGAGTGGGAGCAGGTGAGTGCCTTCAAGCACTTGTCTGTCCCCGTGCAGAGAAGCTTTGTGTTCACATGGTGTGTGGAAAGGGATGCCACCAATAGACCACTTGAAAAGATAACCCCAGTTACAAATGCGCCCTTTTTCTAATTCCGCATGTATCTCCTTTCCTTCATCCACTACAGACCGCAATGTCTGTGGGCAAGGCTTTGTGAGTTCACCATAAATGCCAGGCTGGTTCTCATCTCCACCTGTCTGGGGTAACCAGGTGGAGAGGCTGGCCCCCGAGTGAGCAACTATAAGGCCAGGTGGCAGGTGTGGTCGCAAGGTAGGAGAGCATATCCGCCTGCTGGCCTGATGCAAACCTGCCAGAGGAAAGTGAAAGGAAAAGAGGCGGAAGTGAGTTTCAGGTGTGACAGTTTGAATGAGGCCAGTGTGGAAGGCTGCCGCCATGTCTTTAAGGAAGGTTGAGTTAGAATGTCAGTTAGAGGCAGCCAAGCTGGATTCTGCTTCTCCTCCTTTGTGAATGAAGCATCCAGGGGAAGGTTGGTTGGCTGGCAGAGGGGGAGATTATGCACCCTCCGTCAAGCCTGAGAGAGAGGTCTTTGAGAAAGCCTGGGGAACCACGGTGCATCAGTGCAGAGGCTGCTGAGGTAGGCGGATGGATGGTCCAACTGAGGGTAAAGCAGCTTCTTCCTGCATTTTGAGCCAGTGTGGTGTAGTGGTTAAGAGTGGTAGACTCGTAATCTGGTGAACCGGGTTCGCTTCTCTGCTCCTCCACCTGCAGCTGCTGGGTGACCTTGGGCCAGTCACGCTTCTTTGAAGTCTCTCAGCCCCACTCACCTCACAGAGTGTTTGTTGTGGGGAAGGAAAGGAAAGGAGAATGTTAGCCTCTTTGAGACTCCTTCGGGTAGTAGAACTCCTATTAGAATAAACAAGTTCTGTTATAAATACTGAAATACCAAAGAATATGGATAGCAATGTGTAACAGAAAAAGAAGTAGAAAGTTGATTTAATAGTGTGTGAAAAAAAGTAATAGAAATAGAAAGAAATTGCAATTGAGTAGATTGGAAGTCTAACACAGGGTGGGGTGAGGGGTGAGGGACAGTGGAGGGAAAAGGAATTATGTGCAGGATTGTGTGTGGGTATGTATAAATATTTTTAAGGATTGTATGAAATGTATGTTTGTTTGTATATCCGTAATATGTATGTATAAATGTATTAATGTTGAATTATTTCAATAAATCTTTTAAAATTAAAAAAGAGACTCCTTATGGTAGTGATAAAGCGGGATAGCAAATCCATCCTCCTCCTCTTCCTCCTCCTCCTCCTCCTCTTCTTCTTCTTCTTCTTCTTCTTCTTCTTCTTCTTCTTCTTCTTCTTCTTGAATTTCATGACATGGCAGGGGTGAGGAAGAGACCAGCAGTGCCTCCTGTGTTGTAGAGGCAGCTTGGGGTGGGGGCTTCTGAAAAGGCTGCAATTGAGGCCTCTGAGGAGCGCGCCACAGCCATCGCTGCCCCTGTGGCAGCAGCAGGCAATGCCTTCCTTAAAGGGCAGATCTGCTGTCCCTGTGGATCCTGCCGCCCAAGGGAGCCACCGCACCTTGCCTCATGGGTGGGCCAGCACTGCAGATTACATCTGTGTCTTAAACGTCTGTGTTGCTTGGTTTTGTTTAAATCTGTCGATGCAAGATTGCCTGCCAGCTGCAGTTCAGCACATCAAGGAATCCTAAAGCTGGTTTAAACAGTATCATGCTTGCATCAGTCTGGTCTGATAAGAAACTTTGGCAGAAAACGTCCAGCCAATTAAGAATGATATCATATGAACTGGCCCTAAACTCATGTTCAGCCATGAGTTTAGTAACAAGGCTCCCCACCCCCATACTCTTATAGCTATGCTTTGAATATATGATTTGTAGGAGTGAATCTTTTTTTCCCTTCCAAATTCCCATGACTCTAGACTGACTAATCACGAAAAACAAAGAATTAATAGCTGAGAGCTATATAGCAATCCTCATATCTATGTTTCTTCCTCTATCTTCCAGGAGCCAGTGTTGCCCCAAGGCATTCAGTGCTGTCTTCCCCACAAATATGTGGTAAGGCACGTACTGAAGCGAAATGAAGTAAGGAGGATAAAAACTGGAATGTAATAGCTGTAGGTATTTTTTCTTTCTTTTATTTAAGCATAGGCATTATTTAAGCATAAGAGATCCTGTGAATTCAATTTCTCTTTTTATATATAAGAATATATTTTGTTTAATTATGTGCATTGTTTCTGACACACAATTTGTTTCCAGGCTTTAGGAAAACAGTTGAAAATATGTGGCTATAAGAAAAATAATGAAGTTACCGATTTGTATCTTGGTGAAAAGTAAGTACCATATATTCTTCTTCTTTTTTTGCTGATTTAAGGCACTGTTCTGTTAGGCTCAGCTGAAAAGAATTAATTTTTAGACTGATTAATCTTTAAGCAATAGAAAACAGAATTTCTTTTTGGTTCTGTGAAAATAAAATAGTTTGTTTCCAGGACCAGTAAGTTGCCATTTCATTCTTTAATCTTTATTTTGTGAGGCCAGCACATTCCCTAGCGTTCATCTTATAAAAGGTAAAGGACCCCTGACCATCTTAAAAAAGGTAAAGGTAAAGTCCAGTCACGAACGATTCTGGGGTTGCAGCACTCATCTTGCTTTACTGGCCGAGGGAGCTGACATTTGTCCGCAGACAGGTCATGTGGCCAGCATGACTAAGCCGCTTCTGGAAAAGCCAGAAAAGCACACGGAAACACCGTTTACCTTCCTGCTGGAGTGGTACCTATTTATCTACTTGCACGTTGACGTGCTTTCAAACTGCTAGGTGGGCAGGAGCTGGGACCGAGCAATGGGACCTCACCCCCATTGTGGGGATTCAAACTGCCGACCTTCCGATTGGCAAGCCCAAGAGTTTCAGTGGTTTAGACCAGTGTTTCCCAACCGGTGTTCCGCGGCACACTAGTGTGCCGTGAGACCTTGCCTGGTGTGCCGTGGGAGGGAGGCGGGAGAGGCGGGGCGGCGGCGGCATCTCCTGCTGGATGCAAATCCAAACATGGCGGGCGCCTCCCTCGCTCCTTTGTAGGCGGACCATCGAGAGAGAAAGAAAAGGAGGCGAAAGAGCGAGAGAAGGCGCCTGCGCGGAAAGAGGAGCGAGCAGTGCGCCTGCGCGCCGCGGCGCCCGAGATCGCTTCTCCCCACCGCCCCTTGCTTCAAAAGAGGTCCGGGGGCAGCGGGAAGCGCTTCGCGCTGCCCCCGGACCTCTTTTGAAGCAAGGGGCTGCGGGGAGATCGCTTCTCCCGGTGCTCCGAAGCGGGGCGGGGGGCGGGAACACCTGCCCCAGCCGCCGCCGGAACGCTGCTCCGAAGCGGGGCGGGGGGGCGGGAACACCTGCCCCAGCCGCCCCGCTTCGGAACGCTGCTCCGAAGCGGGCGGGGGGCGGGAACCTCCCCCGCCGCCGGCATCGGAACGATGCCCCGATGCCGGGCGGTGGGGCGGGAACCTCTCCCCCCGCCGCCGGCATCGGAACGATGCCCCGATGCCGGGCGGTGGGGCGGGAACCTCGCCCCCGCCGCCGGCATCGGAACGAGGTCCTGCCTCCTGAAGGCAGGCGGGGGAAAGGCAAAATCTTAAAATGCTGGCGGGCGGGAGCGAAGCGTTCGCTGCCGACCCCCAGCATTTTAAAATCTCCTCGGGGCAGCGGAGACTTCGCTCCCGCCCGCCAGCATTTTAAAATCACCCCGGGACAGCAGGGGCTTTTAAAATGCTGGCGGTCGGCAGCAAAGCCCTCCTGTACCCGGAGCTTGCGGGGCGGGAGGTGGGAAGAAGGGCTTTTCTTCCCACCGCCAGCCTTCAGAACAGCCTTCTGAAGGCTGGCAGTGGGAAGAAAAGCCCTTGTTCCCCCCCCCCCAGCCTTCAGAAGAGGTCGGGGGACAGGACTGTCCCCGGACCTGGTCTGAAGGCGGTTTCCCTAGGAACGCATTAATTGATTTTCAATGCATTCCTATGGGAAACCGTGCATCGCAAGACGAAAAACTCGCAAGACGAAGAGACTTGCGGAACGAATTAATTTCGTCTTGCGAGGCACCACTGTACTTTTTATATAGTCAATATAGGCACAGAGTTAAATTTTTTAACATTTTCTAATGGTGGTGTGCCTCGAGATTTTTTTCATGAAACAAGTGTGCCTTTGTCCCAAAAAAGGTTGGGAAATACTGGTTTAGACCACAACGCCACCCGCATCCCATAGGTCTCATCTTAGAAAAGGCTAAATATCAGAATTCCCTTAGTGATTACAAATTGTGCTAGCAGAATGGTTTGCACAAGAGAAGGCGCAAGAAGCTGGCATATTGCGCAGGCATTATTATCGTCCTTACCATAACACAGTAGGGGTTGCACTAGCAGTCAGAGAATGTTGAATCTAGGCCAGAGTTTGCACATCCAAACCAGCAAACTGATTTGTAGTTTCCCTCCAAATCATAATTGCTCACCATGATTTGCTTCTGCTTTGCAGTTTAGACATATGCTAAGCAGGAAGCAGTTCATTGTATCTGCCCATACAAGGGGAAGAAAGGACCAAATAACCAGAGCATGGTTGTTTCCACACCTCCCAAACCATAGTTTGCAACATTACTTCTAAACTGGCTGACTTGTGTTGTGTTGATTGGAGCGGAGCTGCTATAAAAAGCTAATAAATATTTAAGTCTGTGCATTAAAATCCTCCAGTACTGTTAATGAAGCACAGGAAATTCTGCTTCTGAGAAAGCTGTCATCTTGAGGAAATTGATTAGTTTAGTTGTAAATTGGAAAAGAATGCTGGAGGCCCAAAGGGCATGCAAAGACTAGAAAGACCTGCATAAAGAGGCAGGTTAAAAAAATTATTGGAATTAAACTCTCCTTGGAAGAAATGTAATGCCTTTGGGTGCAATCCTCAGATGAGTTTCTCCAGATATGTTCTATTTATTTCAGTAGAATGTCTCTAGAGTAAGTGGTTTGAGGGCTGCAGTCTGTTCATCAAAAGGGTAGGCCTGGAGATATGGGGCGGTGGGGGGGGGGAATGAAGCCAATTAAAAATAAGTTTAAAGTTTTGGAGAGAGAAATAGGAGATAACTTGCATCTGGATAGAAGTCAATAAGGAAAAGTGATTGTTGTGTGTGCATTGTGCAGAGCTCCAGCATCATTTTATAAATAAAAACTTCATGGGATTGAGAATTTTGCCCAGGTATGTCAAGTTTTGTCAAGAGTCCTTTAAGCCATGGCTAAATTGCCAAGAATCTGTGCCGTAACAGAATGCAGTATGCAGAGTATCTGTTCCGGGTTTTCTTTTTCTCTAGAGAGATCAAACCAATCACACTAGACTTCCTTTGCCATTGTTAGACAGGCTCTTTAGGCTTGGCAGCAGACCAAATAGAAGACAAGTGTTCATTCACCACATCATCTAGTTCCTGTTAGGTGGGAAGCAATACATCTCCAGCTATTTCCTCACCCCAAATGGTTCATAGCTTTCCCCCCATCTTTAATATACATCTTTAATATAAATGGAAAGAACGTTGAGAAATGGCTGCAATATATGGATATATTTTTCTTTTTAGATAACCACTTAGGGCCAAATGTGTCTTGGAAGATCTGAGGTACATGGAAGATCTCAACTTCTTTTGTTTTCACCAACAGCAGTCATGGGTGGAGGAGGCTGGGCTTTTATGAGTACAGGAAGCTCCCCGCTTCAAAAGAGGCCCCTCTAACTTACTGTGATGGTAATTGTGATGCCAACATATAAGAGAAGGACCCTTGCTTCTCGTCTCACACCTGAAGAGTGCTAATGTTAATATATGAATGGACATTTTCCCCACACACTCAGTTGCTTTGCAGTGTGATCACTCAGACCATTAAGTCTCTAATTAACTATGGTTTTTGTTTCATCCAAAACAAGCAAAACGACCCAGATTATCAGCTTCAGAAGAAGCCAGAATATTAAACCATGATATTATATCTGGCTTGTTCCAAAGCTGCTAACCAAGCTGATACATGATCATCTGAAGTCAACTACTGATACTTGCTTTCCTCACCAAATATGAGGTAAAATTGTGGAGACTGAGAACCGTTGGTACTTAACAAAAGTCATTTATTTACTACTTGAGATGCTCAGCAACCACTGGGTGCGAATGAATTTCCATATACAGTGGTATCTCAAGTTACAAATGCCTCGGGTTTCAGACACTTCAGGTTACAAACTCCGCTAACCTGGAAGAGTTACCTCGAGTTGAGAACTTTGCCCCAGAATGAGGATGGAAATCGTGTGCTGGCGGTGAAAGCACGCCTCTAGTTAAGAATAGTTTCAGGTTAAGAACAGACCTCCAGAACAAATTAAGTTCATAACTAGAGGTACCACTGTATTACTTCATAAGCAGTACTGTATATGCTTTTCTGACAAAAGAGGATTGCTTACTGCCAACAGTATGTGAGCACATTGAATCAAAAAGCAGCTGTTACTGATGGAATTACATAACTGCTTCAGTGCTTATTTCTGATGCATAATAGTATATCAAAGTGGGTATTAACAACTGAAGTTATATAACTTTTGTTTCAGAGGATTAAAAGAAATCCCTGATTTATCACAGTTCCGGATATTAAGCCATTTGTGGCTAAATAATAATAAGGTAATAAATATAAAGTTTACATTATGTTTTACACTTTTGACTTTAGTTTTGGCAATAAAAAGTAATGGGGGATTTTGTAGCTTTTTTAAAAAAAAAAAAAGCTTAGCATTTGTTTAATATATAGACTGGGTCCAAAGCTAAAATGCAACCCCATTCATTTCAAAAAAAGAGATTTAAATATATACCTAACTGCCACAATGGAATCAAATTTTGGCTGTGTGTTTAGTACTAGTACAGTGGTACCTTGGTCCTCAAACTTAATCTGTTCCAGAAGTCCATTCCAAAACCAAAGCGTTCCAAAACCAAGGCATGCTTTCCCATAGAAAGTAATGCAAACTGGATGAATCCGTTCCAGACTTTTAAAAACAACCCCTAAAACAGCAATTTAACATGAATTTTACTATCTAACGAGACCATTGATCCATAAAATGAAAGCAATACACAATGTACTGCAGTCACACAATCAATCAGTCAGTAGCTGAACTGGGTTCCACACAGTCATAAAAACAAAACAAAAAGAGCCGCAAAAACAAAAATGCAGAAGAAATAGCAAAAACAGACAGACCTCAGCATAACACCCAAAACGGAAGCGTGGCACTCAAATCGGAAGCATAACGCTCAAAACGGAGCACGTTTGGCTTCTGAAAAAAGTTCGCAAACCGGAACACTTACTTCTTGGTTTGCAGTGTTTGAATTCCAAGTTGTTTGAGTACCAAGGCGTTTGAGAACCAAGGTACCACTGTACAAGTATCACCATATGGTTGGGAGAAAGGGCTCTAAGGGATGGAAAAACTCCCATGTGAAATTGCTGATCAGTGCAAACAATCCTGAACTCTGGGGACAAATGATCTGACATTTGTCAGATACTTTCAGCAGCTTCCTCTGCTTCTGTATTGCTGAGGCAGGGACAATTTGCCCTTGGGTATTTTCCCAGAGCCATTTGCTCCCAACCCCTGGTGAGCCACAAACACCATCCTTTGCAGTTCGGAGCTATTTGGTGCCCCCGTTTGAGACTGAACATTGAGTGCATTTAGGCAGCCTCTATAGCGGGGCAGGTGCACTCCTTGGACTCTCAGGGCAGAATATATTCACGTTTAAAAGCAGAAACATGAATACATGTTATAACAATGAATCAAGAGGAATAAATAGGCAGACAGAAGGCTTTTTGAAAGTCACACAATAGCCACAGCTTCTGTCACTGGCTGCTCACGTATGACTGTAAATACATACATACATTTCTAAGGCTAGGAAAAGATACTGTAATATTCCATATTATTTGGGAGAACATACAGGTTTATCGCCTTGAGCTAAGAGTAATCGCATGCCATATAATGTCAACCATGTTGAAAGGCTGCCATTATTACAATGTTTTGCATCTTTCAGTATGCTAGCAAGCAGACAGCTTCTTTGTGCAGCTCAGGCCTGTACAATGTAGGGCCACCTCTATGCTTGCTTGCTTGTGCACCCCCTGTGTTGATTCCAAATACCTGTTGCTTGTTTCCCATACCTGTGGAAAGTTGGAAGGCTGAGAGAGTGGAAGTCTTGTGAGCTGTTGCTGGTGGAGGAATAGACATAAAGTATCAGGGAGTGCGGAAGGGGAGGGGAAAGATAACCTAAACATGAAATATAGGATGCAGAAAGACTTGTGAGGTGGAGAAAGAGTGTAAGAGAGGGATATTATATATATATTTTAAAGCAAAAGAATGAGACTGTTGGATGGGAGAAAGGTAAGAACACCACATTTATTGAATACAGAAAGTCTATGAGGGCTCTCACTCACACACGCAAACATTTTATTACATCTATCCACTTCCACAATGCAATTCAAGGTGGTTTACAGGTCACTGAGCATGGCTAAGTTCAGCAAGCTTGCTGCATCTTGTCCCTTCAGCCCATGTGCTGGGACCAGCTTATCACTTCCACAGTTTGTGAGAACCGAGCCATTGTTAAAGGTGCCTCAGACTTCTTTGGGAGGAATGGCATGATAGAAATTTAGTAAATAAAATGTGCATTCCACCTGATCCTTGTTTAATGCTCTAACACTCTGTATTTTCTGAGAATTTGTATTCTACTATTACTGTGTTTACATAACTGTTTTGATTTTTACATTGTATAAATTATACATCGTATAAATATTAGGTTATGTATTGACATTTGTATTCTGTGATGTAAACCACCCTGTAGTCTTTTGATGAAGGTCAGAATATAAATTTAATTAATACTAATATTAATACTTATAATATGTAGCAGATTAAGTATTAGCAGACTATATATCCTTTGCTGAAGCTCTCCTTTTCCAGCTGTATGTGGTTTGTGCCACTTCAGGACAAAGGATGAAGAGGGTAAAATGGCTGAGGTTTCAGCGCACTGTGTGGCATTCAGTGAAGTTTTACTAAGAGCAGACCTACTGAAATTAATGGACCTAACTTAGTTACATTCACTAATTTCAACAGTATGGCAATCATATGACATGCAAAAACATGTTATAGGTAGATGCTTAATATAGAGGAAAAGAACATTTCTATACTGTGCATTTTGGGGCCTGTTATGCTTTTAGTCTGTTATATGGGATATTTCACAGGCCTATTTAAACCCACAAAGATAGTATATAAGGTATAGTTCTTCACCAATAAAATCACATGAACCTATTGTTCTAATTCTCATAATTCAGATTCAGAATCTAACTATGTTGAAGCATAACTGCTGCTTGACAGAACTGTACCTCAACAATAATGAAATCCGAGATATATCAGGTATGGCGTCAACATAATCTCTTTTGAACCAGGAGTGATTCCTGTGAGCGTATATGTGTTAAATTTGGTTGAAATAGACTGCAAGAAGTCCTGGAAATAAGATGAGTGATGCTTCATGAAAACAGAAAAATGTCTCTAGAAAGAGGGCTTGGGGTCCCTTCCAACTCTATGATTTTATGAGTGTATGAAAGTTATGAAGCAAAATGTGCAAGTATCCTTCTAAGCAATTTCTGTGAAATGACCCAGCCTGGCTGCTCTTGACTGTCAGTGTTTATAGCCAATTAAGCAATCAATGAAATCAAAGCTGTGATTGATAAGCGAGTTATTTCCCCTTAAGTGTACTTTCCCTGCTTCTCTCTTATTTTCTAGTTTTTGGAATTCAGAAAACCTAAATAATTCCCAGCCAGTTGCCAATCTCCCCTTCTTGGATAAGGTTCTTGGGTGAGTGGCTGTGGAACAGATACAGGTGCTCTTGGAGGAAACTGATTTTCCAGATCAATTTCAATCAGGGTTTAGCCGTGGTTTTGGCACAGAAACCACTTTGGTCAGCCTGTATGATGACCTTTGTCAGGAGAGAGAGGAAATGTGTCCCTGTTTAATTCTCCTTGACCTCTCAGCAGCTTTTGATACCATTGACCATGGTGTCCTTCTGGAGCAGTTGCCTGAGTTGGAGGTGGGTGGCAACACTTTGTAAAGGGTGCTTCCAGAGGGTGATGCTTGGGGAATGTTCTTTGGCCCCGTGGAGCCTTCAGTGTGGGGTTTCTCAGGGCTCAATTTTATCCCTCATGCTGCTTAATCACTGAGTGAGGTCATCCAGAGTTTTGGAGCATGTTGTTGGCAATATGCTGATGACACACAGCTCTACTTCTCCTTTACATCTGCAGGTGAGACAGTGGATGTGCTAAACGGTTGTCTTGCCTCAGTAAAGAATTAGATGATAGTCAATAAACTGAAGCTCAGTTCAGATAAACTGAGGTCCTATTAGTTGGTGGCTCCCTAGCTCTGATGGCTGGGAGGTTCATGGGGTTACACTCCCACTGAAGGAGCGTGTACAGAGCCCGGGCCTTTTTCTGGTGTGGAGTGCCTTCCATCAGATTCAATCAGTGGACCGGCTGCGCCTTTATCTGGACAGTGATAGCCGAACTTCTGTTGTTTATGCTCTGATAGCCTCTAGGTTAGATTACCGCAATGTGTTATATGTGGGACTGTCTCTGAAGATGGTTCAGAAACTTCAGCTAGTGCAGAATTCAGTGACCAGGTTTCTCACTGGGACAAGATGGTTTGAAAACATAACACCAATTCTGGCTTGACTGCACTGGCTGCCAATTAGCTTCCAGGCCCAATTCAAATTGTTGGTTTTGACCTATAAAGTTTTAAAAGAGCTCAGGACCGCAATACCTCAAGGATTGCCTGTCCCCATATGAATTTACTCCGTATGAATTCACCCCATCTTCATGTGCCGCCTCCATGACAGGTCCAGACAGGGAACATGAGAACGGGCCTTTTCTGTGGTGGCTCCCTGTTTGTGGAGTGCTCTACAGAGGGAGGTTTGCCTTAGATATCTTTAGGCTCCCTTCAAAAACTTTACTTTCTAACCAGACTTTCAGCCTTTTAACTACCTGTGACCTTTTAGAAGTGGGTTGGATGTTTTTTAATGTTTAATGTATTTTGGTTCGAATGTATCCATATGGGGTTGTGGTTTTTTTGTTCATTTGGTTTTTGGTTGTAAGTCACTGGGTAAGATAAGGAGATGTAACAAACTGAAGAAACAAAATAAGTAAGGCATTATTTTATTAATTGTTTAGGTGCTCTGAAACATATTCATGTGTTGCGAATCCTGATGCTTCACAACAATCACCTGAAAACCCTGGAGAAAACTGTGAAAGAGCTTCAAGGAATGCAGCATCTGCAGACCTTAAGTAATCATTTACCTTTCTCTCTCTCTCTTTTTCCTCCCCATGCAGCACAGCATTGATAGGACCCACACATATATTTAGTAGAAAACAGATAGTTTTGAGGAAAAGGGTTGAATAAGATATATTAGCCTTTTTTTTTGGAAATGCTTTTTGCTGAGCAAATAAGATTCTCTAATTAAACATACCAGTATCAGTTTTAACTAGTGTCTGCATTTGTTTTATTTTACGTTACTGACAGAGCAAGGGGTAGATGAAAATGCTTGAGACTCTGAAATATCATATTAAGATAAACAAGACGGTGCTGGCGCCACTAAGCGTTGCTGCATTCAAATCGCCTTCAGGGAAGCAGGATTATAAACTGTTAACCTGTTGAAAGTGAAAGTGTAAGCAATCTTTCTCAGGTTTTTTCCCCTCCCTAAAGGAATGTGCTCATAGATCATACCAGGGCTTTCAGAACTTTTAAGAAGCAGGAACTAATTTAATGCCTCGGTAAAGTAATTAATAGAGGTATTTAATATTGTTATAGGCCACCCCAATGTCTGCCGAGTGGTAGCAAGGGATTCCAGGGGTCTTGGCACTTAACCAGGGTTTGTGTTTCCTTGGGGGAAATGATGCTGTAATATCTTAGAAATACAGTTTATTGACACATGTTTACGCCTGAGTTTTATGGAGGGAGAGCTCACAGCAATTATATCCTGAGAGGGGGATGCTGTCCTTCAGTCCCACATGGCGTTCTGTCCATTTCCTTCTCCTTCTTCCCAGAAACCCCTGCTCCAAAAACCTGTTGCAAAAGGACACCCTCTCTTCCTGTGGTGACATCGCGCCCCACGGTTACCCTGGCAACCTCCCCCTCTCATCTTTGCTTTTGTCTTCTGCTAACTAACACACATCTGGGGGAGGGAGGACAGCATCTGCACGGTCAATTGTTCTTTAATGGCCCAGTCACATTTCTCCTTGTGTTCTTAATGGCAACAATATCAACTTTGGGGGGGAGGGGGCCTCAAATATTTTATTGGGAGTGTGTGGCAAAGGGACCTTGGCCCTTCAGTGTTGGCTCCTATGCCAAAGACCTTTCCATTCCAGCTTTCCATTCTCACAGTGGCCAACGATGCCTTTGAGAGGGTCACTAGCAGGAGAGGAGCACAACAGCGCCCCCTTCTCATTCATAGAATCATAGAGTTGGAATAGACCACAAGGGCCATCGAGTCCAACCCCCTGCCAAGCAGGAAACACCATCAGAGCACTCCTGACATATGGTTGTCAAGCCTCTGCTTAAAGACCTCCAAAGAAGGAGACTCCACCACAGTGGCGTAGCGTGGGTTGTCAGCACCCGGGGCAAGGCAAGTAATTTGCGCCCCCTAACCCGTGGATTTGCGCCCCCTAACCCTAACCCCCAGATGTTGCGCCCGGCCCCCCTGCACCCCCCACGCTACGCCACTTGAGGGACTCCCAAGAAGGTGAAGCGGGACTTCACCCCAGGGTATCTCGGAAGCCCTCGAGGCAGCGACGCTTCCACCCCCTGGAAACAGCAGGAAGGGAGAGCGCTCTTGTGCCCCGGTCCTGCTTTGAGTGCTTCTCATTGACACGTCTGCTTGGCCACTCACTCTACATGGGCCCTTGTGGCCTTGATCCAGTAGCCGGGTCCTTCTTTGGAAAGAGCGAGCGCCTCCCTCCGCCCCCGCCACACGGAGCTCAGCCTGCACGTGGGCAGGCCCTTTGCGTCACGTGCGCTTGGCGCGCTGCTCTCTCCAGCTTCCTCCCGGCCGGGCCAGCGGCTCCACCTCTTTTCCTTTGCCTTTGAGCCGCTTAATTCCCAGCAAGCAATTAGCAGGCTCGCTCCACCTCCTCCTCCTCCCGGCTTTGCTGCTGCTGCTGCGAGGCTCTTTTCCTCCACCGACGGCGCGCTGCGCCTTGGAGAGGTTCCCGCTTCCTCGAGGGGGGCCGGCCAATCGCGCCCCCAAAAATGTTGCGCCCGGTGCGGCCGGCACCCCTGGCACCCCCCACGCTACGCCACTGCTCCACCACACTCCTTGGCAGCAAATTCCACTGTCGAACAGCTCTTACTGTCAGGAAGTTCTTCCTAATGTTTAGGTGGAATCTTCTTTCTTGTAGTTTGGATCCATTGCTCCGTGTCCACTTCTCTGGAGCAGCAGAAAACAACCTTTCTCCCTCCTCTATATGACATCCTTTTATATATTTGAACATGGCTATCATATCACCCCTTAACCTCCTCTTCTCCAGGCTAAACATGCCCAGCTCCCTTAGCCGTTCCTCATAAGGCATCGTTTCCAGGCCTTTCACCATTTTGGTTGCCCTCCTCTGGACACGTTCCAGTTTGTCAGTGTCCTTCTTGATTGTCCTTGGCAAATGGCATTCAGAGGCCTGTGATAATTTTTAAAGCAGGGGTCAGCAAACTTTTTTAGCAGGGGGTTGGTCCACTGTCCCTCAGACCTTGTGGGGGGCCGGACTATATTTTGGAAGAAAAGAAATGAACGAATTCCTTTGCCCCACAAATAACCCAGAGATGCATTTTAAACAAAAGCACACATTCTGCTCATGTAGAAACACCAGGCAGGCGCCACAAATAACCCAGAGATGCATTTTAAATAAAAGGACACATTCTACTCATGTAAAAACACGCTGATTCCCGGACCGTCCGCGGGCTGGATTTGGAAGGCGATTGGGCCGGATCTGGCCCCTGGGCCTTAGTTTGCCTACCCATGTTTTAAAGGCATCCAAGATGGCAGCCAACACGGCGGTAAAAAATCCATGGTTCAACAATATGCTGAGTGAAGTATTTCCTCTTGTCTGGTATTATGCGAGGGGGGAAATTGTATAATTTCTCCAAATTATGCACGCCTCTACCATGTCCCTTTCTTACTTGCTTTTTTCCTGAATGAAAAAGCCTCCAATGTTGTAAACTTTCCTCAAAGAGGACTTGCCCCACTGATCATTTTGACTGTCCCCCTTTTCCAGCTCTATAACCTCCTTTTTTGAGGTGCGGCGACCAACACTTTAGACAGCATTTTGACTGCAGTTACTCCATAGATTTGTATAAAGGCCTTCTGATATTCTTGCATACAGAGGTTTAAGGCTCTGTACACTATTCAAAGTGATGAGATAATTTCTATAGAGATGCTTAAATCTCTACTTCATAGCCATAAAAGTAGTGTTCTTTCTACTACTGCCATCTAGTGGTTCTTTGCATGCAATCGATTACCATAATTTATTTTTTGAGCGAGGAAAGAAGTCACCAAAATAGATGAATGAGATTTTTCAGGATATGGCCAGAAAAAAAGATAGATTACGTTTTTTATCCAGATATTGTCATTATTAAAAGAAATCACTGATATACTAAAAGTGTCTTCCCGAAGCACAAGGCACTAATATGCCTCAGTACTGAGTTTCTTCTCCGGCAGTGTTTTAAAGCTTCTCCTCTCTGCCATGAGAAAAATGGAGTAGCCTAATGAGCTGGTTCACAATTAATATTAAAACATGGTTTAGCGCTATGTGTGTGAGTAGAAACAAGCTTCAGCAAAATCTTGTGCTTTCACCCTTCCTCCTTCCCTCTCGTCCTCCCCATGTGGCCAGAAGAAGGACTGTGCTAGCATTTACTTTGTGGGTGATTTGTCTGCGTAATTAAATAATCTTCAACCTGTTTTGAATGGGGTTGCACTTCTTCTAATGGAGAAAGTTTGCAGTTTGAGGATGCTCCATGATCCTACACAGGTTAGCCTCAGAGGCAGAGAGTGTGTTATTTCTGTTTCATTGGATATACCAATTACGACCCTATCTGGGTAGAGATAAGCTTGCAGCAGTTATCTAAGCTTCGATAATCTCCTGCTTAGATAACTGTACTGTGTTATATGTGATGCTGCCTTTGAAAATAGCCTGGAAAGTCCAGCTGGCCCAAAATAGAGCTGTGAGATTATTGATGAGTACAGGTGTATATATAAATATACACCTGTATATATCTTTAAAAAGGTGATAGAACGGATTGAAGAAACTATCAAGGCATCTCTTTATTAGCTGCGGACGGCAAAATTCTTGCAAGCATCTTAGCAAACTGTCTCCTACCAATATCAGAGGCTGCCCTTTCTGAATCCAAAAATGGTTTTTGACCTTCTAGGGGGACAGTGGACATGATTTTCACTGCTCGACAGCTTCAAGAAAAATGCAGAGAGCAAAACCAACCCCTGTATATGGCCTTTATCGACCTAACTAAGGCATTGGACAATGCAAATCATAATGCCCCATGGACTGTCCTTTTGAAAATTGGCTGCCCAGATAAATTTGTGAACATCCTTCGTCTCCTCCATGATAGTATGACAGCAACAATCACAGATAACAATGGCTCTCAAAGTGCACCATTCAGTGTGGGATCAGGTGTTAAATAGGGTTGTGTTATCTCCCCAATTCTATTTATTAGTTTCATCGCAATGATCCTACACTTTGTCAAAGGGAAACTCCCCACTGGAGTAGAAATCATATATTGAACAGATGGAAAGCTCTTTAATCTGAGTAGGCTGAAAGCAAAGACCATTGTGTGCTTAGAGAGAGACGGTGGCCATTTCATGTGCTTTGAAGTAAATCTATACTCTACAAGGGAAATGTCATGGCCTGCAGTATTCTGCTGGTATTACACACTTATCAGCATTTCTTTTATACTGAGAAAGCCATTGGTGTGCAATGCAGCAATAGAGAATCACATAAGATAATTATGTAATGAGTTTAGGATATGGAGGAGACTGCAGATGACTTAAAGGTAAAGGTAAAGGGACCCCTGACCACGAGGTCCAGTCACGGATGATTCTGGGGTTGCGGTGCTCATCTTGCTTTATTGGTCGAGGGACCAAGCGTACAGCCTCGGGTCATGTGGCCAGCATGACTAAGCCGCTTCTGGTGAACCAGAGGAAACGCCATTTACCTTCCTGCTGGAGTGGTACCTATTTATCTACTTGCACTTTGACAGGCTTTCGAACTGCTAGGTTGGCAAGAGCAGGGACCAAGCAATGGGAGCTCACCCCGTCGCGGGGATTCAAACCGCTGACCTTCTGATCGGCAAGCCCTAGGCTATGTGGTTTAACCCACAGCGCCACCCACGTCCCACACAGATGATTTACCTGCATTGAATTCTGAAGCATTTCAGCCGCAAGACCAATGATTTTGATAAAATCCCAGACACCTAATTCCTGCTAGTCACTTTTTCTAATGGAATGATAACCAGAAATCTGCATAAAAAGATGTGAATTGCCCCTTTGGCCAGGATACTGGTTATTTGTGTAATCTGCTCTTTGTGCAACTCTGTAAATACAGAGGATTTGGATTGGGTCATCCAGAATCCTTTTTTTACATGTTGAAGACAAAGAATTCTGGAACCAACTAATGCTGGTTCCCATTGTACACTCACTGTAAAAAGAAAGGTTCCTATTTCCCCACCAAAGAACGACCGTCAACTATGATGTGCCAGCGAATCACGTTGTGTTTTTTATATATATAAATAGGAACTAAATTAAATGTGTTGTGCTGATCTAGACAGACAAAACGGAGCAGTGCCTTAGTCAAAGCTCAGCTGTCACACACAAAAAGGAAGATTAAAATGAGAGCAGTTTGATCTTCTGAATGCTTTTGCGTTCACTGAAGTCTGATGAGGACTCTTGTGAGTGGCCAGACCAGTCACAACACCTCTCTGTCAGGAATGGAGAAGTGGAAAGTCTTTTACAGTTATCATCTCTGTCTTCTAGATATGTTTGGGATTTGCTGGGGCTTATCTGGGAGGGCGAGATGCATTGGTGCAATACATGATGGGAAACTTGATCCGAGTATCAGAATCTTGCTGGTTAATCATAAAGAACAAACAAGAACTTCAAAGACTCATAACAAGTGGCAAAAAAGGCGTTTGTTACAGATCTTTTTTCATGCACCTCACAATGGACCACAACGTTCAGGAAGGAGGTGCTTTGTGAATACAAACTGGTTGATTATGTCTGTATAGTATCTACTGAAATATGGAGGAGGTTGCCAAGTCTTTGCTCAGTCATTTTCTGACCATTGTTCTCTTTGTTTCAACTCCTGCAGACCTGTTTAATAACCCCATGTCTCATGATCGCAGATACCATCTGTACGTAATATACCACATTCCTTCATTAACATTGTTTGACAGAAAAGGTAGAAACTGTTTCTCCCCCGCTTTCTTAATAGACATGAAGGAATCACTTAATGCTTTTATATCTGAACAAGAAGCAATGCATTTGTGGCTGCCCTTACTCAGCAGCCATCAATTTTGTAAGATTACTTACAATACTTGTTAGTATTGGGTGGATACATTGCAAGACATCATTCATCTTTAATAGAATTATCTGGCCCTACAGTGGTGCCTCACAAGACGAAATTAATTCGTTCCGCGATTTTTTTCGTCTTGCGAAGCACGGTGTCGGGAAAGTTTTGGGAAAGCTTCAAAAATCACCAAAGTCTTCAAAAACCTCAAAAAAGGCTACCACACCGCGTTCTATGAGTTGCTCCTCGAAATCAAGTCGCAACTGTATTAACAGTGTTAAGAAAAAGGAAACAAACTTGCAAGACGTTTCCCTCTTGCGAAGCAAGCCCATAGGGAAAATCGTCTTGCGAAGCAGCTCAAAAAACCAAAAACCCTTTCGTCTTGCGAGGTACCACTGTACTTTTAAGAAACCTTCATGGAAATGAATGTGCATCTATAGCCTGGTTACGTGAAATTGTAACAGCTTATTTATTTCAGTTTCCAGGGGAGTTGTCTTTGCTCGTCTATTACCACACAAGCAACAACATTTTATTGCTCCTTAAAGACACAAAGATTTATCATGATTATTTGCTCTCCCATCAGATGTCAAGGAGATGTGTAACTATACAAACTTTAGAAGACATCTGAAGATAGCGCTGTATTGGGAAGATTTTTAATGTTTAATGTTTTATTTTGTTTTTATATATTTGGAAGCCACCCAGGGTGGCAGGGCAACCCAGTCAGATGAGTAGGGTACAATTATTATTATTATTGTTGATGGATGCAGTTGTGTGTGAACGTAAACAGTGAGGTCAGAAGGCACCTAAATGCAAAAAGTACAGACCAACCATTACAGAAATATTTAAATGTTTGTAAGGTAAGCATAGCAGCCATTCACAAAGCAGTGCTGAAAACACAGGTAGCTGGCATTGCTAAATTAATTTGCAAAGTTGCTTAATTAGTTTCATGGAAGAAGCCCTGTGTAATGCTTACTAAAACTGGTGGACTATGGAGCCTATTATTTAACACCTTTCACATACTAGCAGTAGGAAGTCCTCTCAATTCCCATAACCAAATCAATTGTAAGTGACAGAAGGAAGTTTCAAAAGCAGTTTGGAATATATCAGAGGAGACTGTAGCTCGGGGTGTGTGTGTCAAAAAGCTCCACAGGGAGCAGAGGTAACCCATGGGTGCACCTAAAAGAGCTCTCTTGACTGTGACCAGAAGCCTGCCTCTCTAGAAACATTAAGCTTCTACTATCTGTAAATCACACAAGTCGCAACATCCCTTAGTACTAGGCTGTCACCCACCTAAAGAATAAAGAAATATAGTATGTCAGCCGCTGTTTGAGCTCCAGATAATGCCATCTATTCCTATGTTACAGAAGTAACTTCAAAAGAGAGAGTATCAGCTGTTCATATATATGACCATGAACGGTCCCTCGTGCTTCATTCTATAGGATTTGGGAAGAAAATCGATGAGCCGTTTTTGCCCAAGCAATCATTTTGCCTAACACCAACCAAAGTGATAAGATTGCCTCCAGGTATTTAACAGTGATTCAGAAAATAATAATAATAATAATAATAATAATAATAATAATAATAATAATGCTGCAGATGAACAACCATTGCCTCCTTACATTAAATGACTTTCATAATTATATAATTGCCTTGCTTTTTAGCAGTCTACTTGGGATTCTTTGAGGGCTTGCTGTGATTTACACTCATTGTCACTCTAGGCTTCTCAGTAAAAGCTGTTATCTTTTAGAAGGAAAAAAATCATCGTTAAATTACTCAGGGTATTTACTGTATAATTCAGCTATACTTCCCTTTTTCTGGATATCTAATATTGGTCTTTAAGATTTTAAAGCGTGAAAATAAAAAGGGCTTGGCATGTGCTGCATACATATAGCCGCTTTCCTTCTCATTTATAGGGCAGCTTTTTCAACTGGTGGGTCAGATACTCCCCCCACCTACCCCTTTGGCAGTCAATGTTTGGCACATTAGGAGCAAATGAGCTAGCAGAATTGAACTCTACATATAACAGCTGGAGGGCAGGTTCAATCCTGCTTCCTGCAGGGATTAGGTGGGTGAGCAACCTCTCTTGCACATCCCAAACCAAGCAGAACTGAACTCCCCAAGCCCCAGCTTGATGGACATGTGTTGTCAGGTGTCAAGCAGGCAGGCGAAACTTGGCCCCCAAGTCATAGATTTCCAGTTTTATGGCAAGTCTTTTCAGTTGTATTCCAGTGACTACTGCCACAGCCATTGAAGATTCCTAATCAGTGCACAAAAATCTTTAGAAACCTCTACCTGCTGCTCGCTTTTTCTTAGTTATGTGTAGTTGAAGCAGGTGACAAATGGGAAGCAAATATGATTTTGTCCACAGGGAGAAATCAATCACAAGTTAACTGTATATAAGGCTAAGCAAGTAACTAGAAAGAACTATCTCACTCAGTGAACCATTTAGGCCAAAATGCTAACTTACAAAACTTGCCATTTGAATCTAATGGAAATTAGAATTGACGGAAGCTGTTCAGTATTCTGCATGTCAAGGGCTACGCAGACTTGAATAACTGTTTCCAATCTTTGTTTTAGGTTGCGAGTTTGGAAATCACCTGGTTAAGTAAGCAAGATCTGCCTTTCCTTTATTTCTAATCCATTAATATTTAGATACGAAGCTCCCAGTCTAACGGCAACTTAAAAACAAAAGAGTTATTTTGCCCTAATACATCATGCCCGCTTCATCAGATGCATGAAGTGTTATCCCTGGCTAGCAGATACAGGTTAGCTAGCCACTCCATTCACATTGCCCCCGTGTGTGTAGTAACCGGCTACTGTGCATGGAGAAGGTGAACATAATCTGCTAATGAAAAAGGGAATTGTGGTCAGTACTAAAAACACTAAAAACACCCCTTTCCCAACAGGCCTTGTAGAATAAGCACATCTCAAATGCATTATTATTTTTTAACATTATCTGGTCAATATGCAACACTCTCCAAGAAAATGCTGTTTTATTTCTGTCTCTAGATCAGAAGCGGACAAATTGTTGCTTGCAGCCCGCTTTCTAATTTTATGCAAATTGTGAAATCCCCTCTTGCTGATCAGCAGGGGAAAGGGGGCATTGCTGTAGTCTCATCTCCCTCCCCTCCCCACTTGTCATGGGCTAAGCAGAGGTTGGGGGGCTGTAGATTCATGTTTGCTCCTCATTCACTATGGGGCTCCACACAAGATTCCTTCCATCCATAAATGTTTCTGTGTGTGTGAAGAGGTAGATGTGGGTGGTTATCTCCCCCACCCCCGTAAAACCCCACATCCATTCATTTTGAGAGTACATGCCCTTGAGGAGTGGATTCACATGTACCTCAGCCCCACCTGTAAGCCATTCCTCCACCCACACAGATGAGCAGTAAGGAAACAGCTGAGTTGTGCGAAAAGTGTGGGGCACAGAATCAGAGTCTTGTTGCTCAGCTGTGAAGTGGGGGTGGACTGCAGATAAATATTGGTAGTGAAATCACCCCCATTCTGTTTCCCCTGACTTTGCTTTACTTCTTGACTAAGAGGTACAAAATTTTTGCACCGTATTTTTCGCTCCATAAGACACCCTTTTTCCCTCCTAAAAAGTAAGGGGAAATGTGCCTGCGTCTTATGGAGCGAATGCAGGCGGGAGGCTCTGCTCAGCGCTCCCTTTAAAGAGCTGCGTGGAGCGTGTGTGTGGCTCTTGGGGGCTTTTCCCTGAGGAGGGAGAAGGGCAGCCCGTCAGTCCCTTCTCCCTCCTTGGGGAAAAGCCTGCAAGCGCCACACAGACACGCTCCACGCGGCTCATGAAAGGGAGCGCTGAGCAGAGCCTGGGATGCATACAGGCTCTTCTCAGAACTCCCTTTAAAGAATTTTTTTCTCTCTTGCATTCCCCCTCTAAAAACTAGGTGTGTCTTATGGTCAGGTGCATCTTATGGAGTGAAAAATACGGTAAACCATAAAAAATATTTACTATGCATTGGGTGCCATATTAGTATCAAATCCATTCACGTTTAAACTTTAGTTTTCTCATTGCAAAAGAAAAAAAAATTCTGGTCATTTACTTTCTCTCCCCCCCCCCCCGCCGCTTTTTGTTTGGTTCTTTGGAAGGATTCCGTATGAAAACCCAGAACATGCTGTACTTGTGAGGGCCATGAGGCGATCTGTCATGGAGTTCGCCACTGTTGACTGGGAGAAGATGCCCACCTGCGAAGAGAAACGCCTTGGCAGCAATCCAGAAAAAAGGCCAGAGAGACTGACAATTAAGTTTCGATAAATGTGGCTTTTCTCCAACAGTTCTCTCTTAAAAAAAAAAAAAAACCAAAAACCCCACACATTTCTTTTGCTGCTCTTAATTAAAATCATTTCAAGCAGGAAAAAAAAATCCAGTTACGTTACCATTTTAGCACTTAATGCATACTATGAAGGGGTGTACTTTCTCTTCTCATGAGGTGGCCAGTACTTTGGCCACCTCATGAGAAGAGAAGACTCCCTGGAGAAGACACTGATGCTGGGAAAGATGGAGGGTACAAGGAGAAGGGGGCGACAGAGGACGAGATGGTTGGATAGTGTTTTCGAGGTTACCAGCATGAGTTTGACCAAACTGCGGGAGGTAGTGGAGGACAGAGGTGCCTGGCGTGCTCTGGTCCATGGGGTCACGAAGAGTCGGACACGACTAAACGACTAAACAACAACAACAATGAAGGGGTGATATTTAAAGCTATAAAAATCATCTGTTAGTTAAACAAGCCTATGGTTTGAAGTTGGGTTATTGAGCAGTTGACCATGGTTTGCTGTAAGCCAGATTCCTGATCTGCATATAGGTTTAGGTTGAGACGCTTTCAAATGAAAAATAAACTTGGCAGCATGCACCCTTTTTTTTTAATGCCTACTTGCCAAGTTTGGAGAGGCTTTAATTTCCTAAGCTCACAATCTCTGGGGGTTGAAAAGCTAGGAAACAGAGTAGCTGTTTAGGGAGCTTGATTATGACTCCGGGGGCAGTAAGTGAGCTGACCACTGTTGGTGATTAACATCTGCATATAGGAGAATAAAAGCCTTTCTGCCATCTTTATCAAGTATATAGTTAACAGACCAGAAGAGATATCTCTTAATGGCTTTTGGGGGAGACTTTATTCACCCTTTCCCTGTAAATTCAGAGGATAATGTGGCACAGCTTTATCTCCAAATACTATCATGAGCCCAAAGGCATGCTGCTGTGCATTTGGGCTGACAGATTGAATGCTCCTTCCTCCAAGAAGAAAGTGGCATGTAATGGATGGGTGGGTGGAGACGAAGATAGAACTTGCTAGTTTTCTAACTAGAGGGGAGTATGGAAGAGAATTCAGCCATATGCACTTCCATTTGCAGGTTCAAATGTTGCAGTTCATCTGTAGGTTTGCCAATTAGTTGAGCCCTAGTCTTAAGATCAGAGCCATTGAATACGACAACTTTACTGACAGTTATGAATATACAAATTCTATACATTGCCTAAGATTTCCTTGACATCCATCCAGTGGCGTAGCGTGGGGGGTGCAGGGGGGGCCGGCCACACCGAGCGCAACATCTGGGGGTTAGGGTTAGGGGGCGCAAATCCACGGGTTAGGGGGCGCAAATTACTTGCCTTGCCCCGGGTGCTGACAACCCACACTACGCCACTGCAACCATCAGATGTAAAGGGCACAATCAAGTATCTGACTTTTAGAAGATCAGATATACAGCAGCTCTGTATAGGGTTTTTTAATGTTTGATGTTTTACTGTGGTTTTATATTTGGTTGGAAGCTGCCTAGAGTAGCAGGGGGAATCCAGTTAGATGGGTGGGGTATAAATAATACATTCTTATTCTAAAGTCTAATCCTTTACACAACTCATTCTGTGTAATTTTATCCTGCTTCTCTGGTAGGAAATGGACACTTGGCTGCAACACCTCAGTATGTGATTCAGTGTTTCCGCTACTCTCCCCTAAAGCTTGCAAGTATTTGGAATAACTGGACCCAGGTCAACAACCCTTCCTCCTTACATTTGCACACACTCCCAATCCAACTGGAGCGGATCTTTCATGCTCTAACTATTAGTACTTAAAGATTAGTGATGCTAAGTACAAACAAAATCATGATGTATCTTATAAAAGTGTAGCAAAATGCCACCGTGAGCCTGTTTTCCTGGGGAACACTAATCTTTTTATGCTATGATGTGTTTTTAATCATTGAGCCACTTAAGTGGAAAGTTCAAGGAAGTAAAGCCAACGTAGATGAGCAGGATTTTGTTTAATGAAAACAGACTGGTAGCAGTACTGGCTTTCAAAATCTGTAGCCAGAAAAACTTAACTTTTAGATGGTTGCACCCCTTACGATCTAACAGTATCATGACCAAGCGCTTTATTGCACTGAAGTCTAAGATATTTTTTAAAATTTTGCTAGCAAATGGCTCTCTTCTCAGACACCTTTTAAGTCTTCTACGCTTTGTGCAGGTATGAAGGCAGATGGGTATGCTCTTACACAGTTTTGATCAGATGGTTCAGCTCTTGTCATCACAATCTAGGATGATGTGATGTAGTTACACAGGACAAATAAGTAGACATATGCTGGATCACAGCATATGTCAAGAGTGAGCATTATAACTGCATTCCATTGACCTGCATATCCCGATGTTGTGGTCTAGAGGAAATCCTCCATAAAGCCTTGGGCTCTCCAGCATTTGTTACTCTTCAGACTCGTGAGCTTTTTCAACCGTGATGTCTGCTAGACTAGTCTCTCCTTCAAGGGCCTTGTCATCCTGAGGGGACAGTGCAGGCACCTCCTTCTTAGGAACCATCTCCTCAGTTCTGTCTCCCACGCATTTGAGGTCCTCTTCTTTATTGTCTCCTGGTTCAGAGGCCGACTGCTCTTCACTTGTTAAAGCAGATTCTGCTGCATGTGTTGCCTCTAGAGGAGAAACACAGGGTGTGAGAAATACATATATTGCAATGTGCAGCAAAAAATCAAATAAATAAATACTCCCACAAGCAACACTGGCTCCTTCATCCCAGAAACTAACACTAGTATTAGAAGCTATTTTGTAATAACTAATCAAACCAGGAATAGAAGTTAAAATGGCTCAGAGAACAAAATAAACCAAACTATGATTCCATGGGCAGTTTCAGAAAGCAGCTGCTTGTTACAGAGCACAGGCAAGCTCAGCTGTTCTGAAACAGTATGTTGAGTTTAGGGGGCAGATTGCTGCTAGTCCATGAGAATAGGGAGTGCATGTGATGTGCATTTCTATGGCTGCAATCCTAACTTGCATTTAGCAGGGAGAAATCCCCACTTAACTCTGTAGGATGTCCTTCTATACAGATGTTGTTAGGGGTTCCTTATTGACAGTGCAATCCTAACAGATCTGGAGGAAGAGGAATGAACCTCATTTATCCTTAACCAAAGCCAGCATGGCCAATGCTTTGTTTTTGTTTAGAAAATTCATAACCTGCTTGACAAACAAAATAATCTGATAAGTGTTGCAAGCCCAACATCTGGATTGCCACTGTTCCCCCACCTGTGGTTTAAGAAAACACTGAGTAGTTAGGTGTTGCATGATTACTAGCATTGCTTTGAAAACCTCTCTGCTCTAATCTGGCCACAAACATGAAAGCTGTTGCAATGACAATGACGTGTGCCAACCTCTCTTTTGCTTTGCTTCTTGCTGTTTCTTTGCTTTGGCAGCTTCCAACTCCTGCTTCTCGTGGGCTTCCTTTAATGTCTTGCATACTTTCTTGTGTGTAAACCAGTGCATTTTCTGGCAGTCTTGATCACAGTAGATCACCTGCGAATGAAACAAGCCATGCCTCAATGCACAAAAAAGACGGGCTTGCATTTGAATCACCCAGGTTGTATAAGGCACCCATTCATTTCTGTATGGAAAACTGGAAATCTAAACCTTGCAATAGCTGGCTTATTTTAAGAACAACAAATAGTTTGTTTCTGTTGACTTGTGCAACCAGGAACAGCTATTTGCTCACTTTCACTTTAGGAGGTCCAAGATCTAGCACCTGAAACATCTATGCTGCTCCTATAAGGGAACAGTCTCCAGATACAGGAACAGTTGAAATCTCTCGCTGGAATCTCAGTCAGTGGTATTTACCTGCAGATTCTTACCATTTTGCATACGGAACATCTTTTGGCTGCACCTTTCCCCCCACATGTCGTACAAAACTCAGCATCCACAAAGCCCACTTGGCCAGTGACTGCTTGTGTCAGTACAGAGAAAGCTGTAGGATCAGAGCCCTGGGGGAAAAGATAAAGACAGTTAAGTCATTGCAAACATAAACACACACCCCAGCCAATGAGAAGCCTGCAGCTACAACACTAATGCAGATATAGAAAAAACCCCTGCATATTTTCAATATACACTTTAGTACTTTTGCACTGCTCTTAAATGCAAGATCTTAGCCTGGCATATGGAGGGAAGCAGGGAAATTATTCTTCCACTCTCCAGAGATTTAACTTTGCTGACCAAGGTATACTGGTGGTGAGATCGTTGAGATTATTTGCAAAATGGGAATGAAAATCAGTTCAGGGGTGCATAAGCTTTGGCTTGTTGCCACTTATGTCTGAGTTTCCTGGCATGCGTTTTGAGAAGAGAAGAAGGAAGAGGGGATTCCTATTACACTAGACTTTAGAGTGGACAAAGGCACATTGTCTCTTATGCTGCTTCTGCCTCCTCTGAAGCTCAGTGTGGCAGAAGAGGTAAATTCCCCCACACCCCGGTCAGGGTTTTGGAAAAGGAAAGATTATGTTTCTTCCTATATCCTCAGCAGCACATGATACCCCCTCCTCTCCTCGCCTATAAAGCTAAGAAGGAACTCTAGCTCCTGGATTGGGGAATTCATAGACACTATCAGAATATAAAGGAAACTCATTAAAAAAGATCTTCCATCCTCCGAATGAAATACAGTTCTTCAGAATAACTGCAAATATCAAGTGTACACATTAAGCTGTATCTTGGGGATTTCAAATGTTCTGCCAAAGAAAGAGAAGCTATTAAACTAGAGACACTCACAATTTCAACTGGGGCAATGCTTCTCACAAGCTGCTGGAGCAAGGTTGCTTCACAGTAAGGAAATTTTCGAATGCATTCTCGGATGAACTTCTCTTGAAATACTGGGAAACCATCTGCATCTCTGCCTTTTAATAGGCTGGAAAGATTAAAGCAAAAGATGAATGAAAAAACTCATGCCAATCCTATTGGGCAATCACTTTGCTTTATTTGTAGTTGCCATGCTTGCCTTACGGTGCAATCAACACAAGATAATATCACCAAGGCAACTCTCTGTAAACAAACAATAAACATACATAAAAATGGCAAAAGTAGTTTCTTTTCCAAATATGTTTTATCTTAAACAATAGCAAACACAGTAAATAAAGAGCTCGCTTGTAATATATCAGCGGTTTAGTGCTCATTTCTTCTTTTTCCAAAATAGATTTTATCTTGAACAATTGCAAATGCAGTAATAAAGAGTCCACTTGTGATATAACAGTGGTTCAGTGCTCAAACCACTGGTGTCGATTGTGTTGGTTGCAGTGGTCATTGTACCACCACCCTGTTCATTGTTTTATTGTTATTTACGGCGCAGCACATAGGCCAAGATTTTAATATTCAAACTACATACCCACAGCATAACAGAAAGATGCTAATGCATGAACTTTCTGTGTGCAACACTTAAAATACGTATCTATATCTTTCAGCTCTGAGATTTCACAATAACGTTTCTGCAGCTAAAGATACTCTTGTCCCACAATGAAAGTTAAGGGCAACTGAAACATAGACCTGATTCATGCAACATGGTAAGCTAAACTATGGGCTATTGGGAACACAGGAACATGGTTGGAGTAACTGGGCATGACCGTAAATCACCCCATGGATGAGGTAATCGCAGGTGCAAGGCAGCCAAGCCAGCTGCTATGGTAACTCCCCAGTGCCCTGACCATATCTGTGATTAATGCAAGTCAGCTTAGCAGGGTCTCAGTCATTTACTCAGTATGCTGGTGTTACTTATCCAGTGTCATGTCTTGAATTGCTGGTTTATTTGGAGCAACGGATATACTTTTTCATTGTTTGTATCAGTGTCTGCAAAAGCCTACTGCTGTATATATCTATCCCCAGAACTGTTTAACTAGGCCTTATCTTCTGCAACAATAAACCAACTGGATCTTACGCTCCTTCCATGTAATGACTGGTACTGAGAGCAACTTCCACTGCAGGGTATCTCACCTAAGATTCCCAACAGACATGTGGGTACCTTGAGAGGACATTGTAGCTACTTTACTCCTCTCAAGTCCTTTTCGCTCCCACAACATTGTACGGAACTAAACCAAGCTTTGGCTTAGCATATTGTCCAAACCTGAGCTCATAGTTACACTGTGTCCTCACTAACCACAAGCTATAGCCAAAGCTTGCTTGGCTTGTTGTGCCATGTGAACCAGGTCATAGCGCCTTTTACTTAATTATCCTGTCCATCAGTGTGAATTACTGCAATAATAATAATAATAAATGAATTACTGCTGTTACAGCAGAACAGCCTAAAAAGAATCAGCAGCACCCTCAGATCTTTAAACACGATAGCAGATTAAAAGGCCTCAGCAAAGATTAAAAAATAATCTTGGTCTAGCATAAAAGAGACACAGAAGAAGAGCCCAGGGAAGGAGGATCAAGAAGATAGGATGAAGGAGAGATGAGCAGAATCCCTTCCTCATGGGTAGGATTAATATATATATATATCAGAAGGCGGTTGTGTGTGCATCTCAAAAGATGCAATTTTTTTTGTCCCTTTCCTCAAACTAATGGCTTAACCTGTAGATAACGATGGAGAATATTTATCTAGCTGTAGATAGCATGGGGATTTGAAGGAAACTGAGCAGCAAACCATTCATTTTACCTTTCAAGGTAAGCAGTCTGTCTTTACTTGGATAGAAATGAACACAAATGCTTTTCCTGCAGGCATTAAACGTCATTCATGATGGGGATCATACCTTTTTATTAATCCATCCAATTTATCCTCTCGCTCCTTAAGGAAGAGGATGCATTTCTGGAAAATACAGCTAATGTAGTGCATTTTTATTGCCAGTACTTCATTCATCTCTCTCTGCTTCATACACTTCTCGCAAATCAGATCCAGCACTCTGTAGCATTTCTGCATTGCTTCAACTTCTGCTAGGAGAGGGTTTTCTTTCACTAGTAACACAATCTATAGGAAAAGATTAACAAGAGTTATCTTTCCTGGGTAGATGATTTAAAACAGAATCAATAGGTAATTTTTAAGTGCTCATATTAACAGGACTTCTTGCTCTTTTATCTTCTTAAATAAGCTATATTACCTAAGAAACTTGCCAGGCCATAGTTTTGGAGAAGTACCAAAAAATCCCCTAAGTCACAAAACCCACAGGAACCCACAAAACAGCCCAACAAGGACCAAACAAGCCAAGTGGGCCTTGGAATGCTGACAAGTGTTACAGACAGGGAATGGAATGGAGTTGTTTGAATTCTGAACTGTAGCAACTCACACAGCTATTTTTTGTTGCAAGTCTCACTTGTAGCTTCCAGCTACAAGCATCAGGCCCTTTCTGAAACTACAGGGTTTCACAGAAACTGATAACAGAGATGAGTGTTACACAAGTAGATTTCAGCTCTTCTTTTGAATGCAAGTTCTTATGAGATGCTGTCGTGCTTCTGCTAAATCACTGGTCTTTAACTAGTGTGTTGGGACACACTAATCTAATCACCTTAGATTAAAGGTACCCCTGCCCGTACGGGCCAGTCTTGACAGACTCTAGGGTTGTGCGCCCATCTCACTTAAGAGGCCGGGGGCCAGCGCTGTCCGGAGACACTTCCGGGTCACGTGGCCAGCGTGACAAAGCCACATCTGGCGAGCCAGCACAGCACACGGAAACGCCGTTTACCTTCCCGCCAGTAAGCGGTCCCTATTTATCTACTTGCACCCGGGGGTGCTTTCGAACTGCTAGGTTGGCAGGCGCTGGGACCGAGCAACGGGAGCGCATCCCGCCGCGGGGATTCGAACTGCTGACCTTTCGATCGGCAAGCCCTAGGCGCTGAGGCTTTTACCCACAGCGCCACCCGCGTCCCCAATCAACATTAGGTCACCTAATGTTGTGACCTAATCTAAGGTGGGTCATAACAGCAACATTACCATTGTACAAATATATGATTAAGAAATGGGCTCCCAAATGTCTCTTTGGGTTAAAAGTAGGTCCTGGATCTCAAAAAGTTGAAGACTACTATGCTAGTCTTAAGGTGTATATACTTGAGTACAATGATCTTCAGTGTGCTAACCTTTGAGTGTTTCATGTTGGGGACTATTTTACAATAAATATCTCTCCATTTGAGAATGAGGTACTAAAGCCCCTGTGAGCAGGCCAGGACTATGGAATATCAAGAAGAAGCTCAGAATCATAAATTAGCTGCTGGCCAAATTTTGCCACCCAACTCCATAGGCCACATATTTTTTCTTAGAGGACCGACCTCAACAAGGTTGTCAGTTATTTGACAAGTATGCCCGAAGGATAAGCCAAAATATGAACACTCTACCTTAACAGGATGCAAATTGGTAGTTGTAATGATCTTATGCAGAGGTCCAGCTAACTTGACTGGCAGTTTGGGTTCTTTGTCAAGTCCTTGTGGTTTTGTATAGTAATCCAACCTTTCTCGTGGAAAGAAGTTGTTGATAACAGTGACACAGTCATGTTGACCTAAAAAGAGAATGGTGCATCTCTTATGAAGATGAAGAGCAATTATTTCACACATGAAGCACAAATCACAGAGGTTGTTCACCATTTAGAGGAAGTACTATACAGTGGTGCCTCGCAAGACGAAATTAATTCGTTCTGCGAGTTTTTTTGTCTTGCGATTTTTTTCGTCTTGCGAAGCACGGTTTCGGGAAAGTTTTGGAAAAGCTTCAAAAATCACCAAAGTCTTCAAAAACCTCAAAAAAGGCTACCACACCGCGTGCTATGAGTTGCTCCTCGAAGTCAAGTCGCAACTGTATTAACGGTGTTAAGAAAAAGGAAACAAACTTGCAAGACGTTTCCGTCTTGCGAAGCAAGCCCATAGGGAAAATCGTCTTGCGAAGCAACTCAAAAAACCAAAAACCCTTTCGTCTTGCGAGTTTTTTGTCTTGCGAGGCATTCGTCTTGCGAGGTACCACTGTACTAATAAACCACTGTGGAACTAAATGGAAGTAGCTTCACACAGAGGCAATATTTCAAGACTCAAGGCCTATGTGTAATATGAAGTTTACAGAACTAAACTAACTCACCTATTCAGAGAACTTAGGATCTGATGGGCAAAGCAGCTTTTAAGACACATTATGAAACAGTTCTAAAGTTATTCCCACTTTTATAAGTTTGTTTTAGTTCACTGCACAAACTAAATCTAAAAATGGTGCTGCTAACCAGTCAAAAATTTAATTCTTCTGGAAGATATGACATTACATGACATTTCAAAGCAGCTCATATGAGATTGCATGATTGACTCTGGCTCACCTTTCAGCCAGCGGTAGAATGCTTAGTGATTACGCCTCGTTAATAGTTTTTTTATTATTTTAGAAACAATGATTGCAAAGCTTCCAATGCAGACTGGCAATTGCAGTGACTGAATCTCTGACTAAGGACTGACTGTTCAGATGTAGTGGATGTGATATGTGGGTGTAATTTTCCCCAAGTTGTAAGCAGATTCCTGCAATAAAGTGCTGGGGCTTTTGACTGGATCCACTAGTCTCCTTGTCTCACAATTCTCTTTGTGTCTGGTTTTTTTTTTATGTAATCATCAAAAGACTTGACTTTAGAACACTTTAAAATAAAAAAAATTGGGTAAAAGGTCTCTCATTACCAATCCTTCCAACCCCTTTGCCAGGAAAAACAAACAAAAATATTTTCTTCTTCTTCATAGTCTATCCTTAAAAGGAAATACAGCTCAAAGAGCACCACCATTTATTTATTTAAATATAGATTTACATACAGTTATCAGCTCACGGAGGCTACTCCTATCTAGCAAACTCCTCCCTGCTGCTAGTTAACATCTTCCTTCTCAAAGAAAGGGGGAAGTCAACAAGGGGAATGACAGGGAAGGCTGGCCATAAATGGAGCTAAACCCATTTTTGAGCTGGACTTAGATAGATTTTTACCGAAAATCAGATGATTGAGTTCGAAATAGAGCAGATTTCTTCCTTAATTACAAATTCAACATTCCCCCCCTCCTGCGACCAACTAATGTTAGAGAGCAATTTGAGAAAAGCAGCAATCACCCAATGAATATTTTTTAAATGTCTTCCCCTTGAGTTAGTTAAGAACCTGGTATTGAACACCCCATTGCCAATAAGCATTAAGTCAAATAAATCTCCATCTTCTCAGAGCCTTAATGGAGGGGTGGGGAACCTGCAGCACTCCACTTGTTGTTGGGCTGTATCTTCCATCTGCCCCAGGCAGCACGGCCGATAGTCAGGGATGATGGAGTCAAAGTCCAGCAACAGTTGGAAGGTCACAGGTTTCCCGCCCTGGACTTCATGAAGGGTAATTCAAAATGGCCGCTCCATTTACCCACAAAGGCAGCCATCTGTGCTGCTGTCCTTCCCACTGAGTTCACGACATCTGTGTCTGCTCCAGCCTCCAACATCATCCACGTAATTTCCTTGTTGCCTAAACACAGAAGAGAACAGCTTTCATTTAGATTTCTCATAATGAGTCTGTAGAAAAGTTTCAGCCATATAAGGTTTTTTTGGTGGGTCGTCCCCCTACAAGACATTAAAACATTTAATCCCTTGTAAATCTGCAGTTTAAGGCATTTAGAAAATGAGGAGCTGCTTTATACAGAGTCAGACAAGTGCTTCATCTGGCTGAGATGAATACAGTCTACACAGACCAGCAGCAGCTCTTCCAAGTTTCCAGACACAGGTCTTTCTCAGCCCTATCTGAAGACACCACAGATGGAGTCTGGGTCTTTCTGCAAGTGAAGAAGGTGCTTTTCCACAGAGCTACAGTCCTTATTCATCCCCAGTAGCTGGAAATGAAGATGCCATTTGCTTTCTCAAGGTTTCACCCAACCCTCTGTCTTGCCAGTATGAATAGATTCTGCACCAAGGCCTGATGGCTGCACTAGTCTTCCCCAGTGGCATCACTTTCTGCTGTCATCTAATCCATCTTTGGAAATTGCTAATCTTTTTATTTTATTTATTATTATTATTATTTTTGCAGTAGGGAGTTCCATAGCTTAGCTTTCCATGAGCTAAGTTCATATATGTGCTCTGGAAGTATTATGACTCAGCCTCCTGATTTTAGGCAGAATTTTCTAACCCAGAGGCTCTAGGTGAAGAGCACATTATTTTATATTTCCCCTTTCCACCCACTGATGCCTCTCAAACTACTTTTTGCACATGTCCTGTAATTTCTTTTACTGTATTCCGCACCCCAAGAGAAAACCACCAGTTTCTTTCCTCCTCTCCTCCATGGTCCTTTCACATTTTCTTCTTCCTCCCATAACGACTTTCCTCTCTTATCTCCTTCCTTTCCCTCATGTTATTTTAATAATTCCTATTGACATTTCCTCTCACGTTCTTATTCCTTCAACGCTTTCACCACCTCTTTCCCCTCAGAGAGGCCTTCTTACTCCCACAATCTGATATATGCATTCACAAATATTGTTTGCTATTCATGCTTCTACCTTTTGCTAGAGAGAGAGACATTTAACAGACCCTGAAATCCAAACCATATTTTTTAAAATAAAGATGTTACCCTTTAAAGGCACATTCCAGCTAAGCCCAAGAACAACACCTGGATGGCTGATGTTTGATTTTATTGGTTTAAAGAACAAAGATAAACCGTGACAATCAATATGCACACACAATATAAATACTGTACTCTGCTATACCTGTAACACCTTAAATGGCTCAAGGACTGCCTCCATGAACTGATCCGGACCCTGCAATCATCATCTGAGGCCCTTCTTCAGTGCCTCCTCCATGAGAGGTCCAGAGGGTGAAACAGATATCCAAGAGCAAAACTGGGTCCTCAGAGTTGTCTGATTAGCTATTAATTCTATCCCTATTTTCCAGTAAAAGACTACCAGTGGCTTACAATAAAAATAGTATTTGGTTAAGAAAAGAATAGCAATCTTGCCTATAAAGTAGAGGTAGACCTTACCTCTAACACATCATTCTTTAACAAAAGATAAAAATTCTGCCTACACAAAGACACGAAGGATTCCTTTATCTGCACCAAGAAGCAGATGTAATTAACAACGGGGAAAACCTCATAGATACCTGAGAGCCCAGCAAACATCAGAGCCGTATATCCGTGTTCATGTTCGTTGCAGTTAACATCAGCCCCATGCCGCAACAACAGTTTGCACACCTCAACTTTCCCTTTGTATGCCGCATGCATCAGAGGAGTCATGCCATGCTATGGAAAGAAGAAATAAATACAGGACCTTCAAATATATCTGTTCGTTCTTCTCCAGTAGTATTTAAACACAAGCAAGCTACACTTCTAAAATGAAAAGATAGCACTCCAAATACAGTATAGCCCAGGGGTCAGAAAACTTTTTCGGCAGTCCACTGTCCCTCAGACTTTGTGGGGGGCCAGACTATATTTTGAAGGGGGGGAGGACAAATTCCTATGCTCCACAAATAACCCAGAGATGCATTTTAAATAAAAGGACACATTCTACTCATGTAAAAATACGCTGATTCCTGGACTGTCTGTGGGCCAGATTTAGAAGGCGATTGGGCCAGGATTTAGTTTGCCTACCCATGGTATAGCCTTTTTGATGTTCACTTTGCTACATTTGAATACTCTTTAACTATATATTCTTTCAACAAAATCCAGCTTTTAGAAAACCAACTATGTCTCCAATTTAGCAGAGGATACCTTTGTACACATTCAGCTTCAATGTAAACTACTAATGAGAAGGAAACTTCAGCTACCATTGCATGCCTTTCTATGTGGGCAACTGCAATTCTTCCCCACCCCGCACACCCATCAATACTTTTATACTAATGACTATATTTATGAAAAGCTTTTCAGTTTTGCTTTTGGAGTAGCTAGTATGACTTGGTGTATCAGCAAATAATAGAGCCCCCTTACTTGTACTGGAGATAGGAGCAAAGCATCAATAATAAATATTTCTTTAGATTTTTAAAAGGGTGGGGGGGTAGAATTTTTTAAGCTTTTAATTCCTAGGCAACTATTCTAATAATAATCTGAAGTATTAATAAAAGTATTAGTAAGATTTTTTTTTAATGTGCACATCAGTTGCTTTCACACAATTAACAACATGTCTAATTTGGTGGGAAACCACACAATTCTCTGAGAAGAGTAACAGCTGCAAGCAGGGAGACCTGCAAAGGACCTCTTTATATTTGAGTTTGCAGTATGGCAATTTATATAATAGGCAAGTTTTATATTTGGGGAGCCATGTGGGAGAGATGGATCATTACCAGTTTTGGGTAGTTTCTTTAGCTGCAGGCACTGGTGAAAAACCTGTCATTTTAAGCAGCAGTTCACACACACTCTCTGTTATGAATCATACATTTGTTAAGCCAGAAATGAACAATGGCATTTACGACCTCTGCTTCCATTGTTTCTCATTTCCAGCAGCTCCCTTTGCTTTGTGTTCTTTTCTAAAGAGATTAAAATGCTTAAATTCAGGGAGACTTGTTCAAATTATACACACGAGTCTTCCGCATGCTGAAAATATATTCCAAGTGGTGGGATGAAATTTTGCGCATTAAGGAGCAATGAGGTATTTGTACAGGCCACCTGGACAGGAAGCCAACTCTAGAGTGGTGCCCCTTTCCCTGCCTTAATCTGCTCCCTACGAATTGATAATGAGGATTTAAAAAAAAAAGATAACCACCTGGCCTCAGAGCTATATAGGAGAGCCAACTCACACATTATACAGCACTTCTGGAAAACATTTCAAAAATAATCTCAGAAGTGGAGGAAAAAGCAAGTAACTGGAAGACGGAACATGATGCTATACAAACAACATGCAGACAACCAATATGAAGAAACCACAAAGTGAGTGGTTCATCATGTTATGTAAATATAGTGGGCTGGATTCAGATGAATAGGAATAAAACCGTCCCTGCCGGCAGACGTGCAATCAAAAGTCACATGGAAGAGGGAACAAGCTTGTTTTCTCCTGCTACAGAGGGTAGAATTCGAACCAAGGGCTTCAAGTTATAAGAAAGGGGATTCCAAGTAAAGATCAGGAAAAAAACTTTCTGACCATAAGAGATGTTTGATAGTGGAACAGGCTCCCTGAGTTGTGGACTCTCCTTCCTTGGAGGTTTTAAAGCAGAGGTTGGATGGCTATTTGTCATGGATGCTTTAGTTGAGATTCCTGCATTGCAGGGGATTGGACTAGATGACCCTTGGGGTCCCTTTCAACTCTATAAAGGTAAAGGGACCCCTGACCATTAGGTACCACTGTATTTCCCTCTAAACTAGAGAAAGGATATTCCACAAGGGGCTCACTGTGGAATCTGTCTGGTTATGAATTTGAATACTTTTTTTCCAGGCACAGTGGTACCTCTGGTTATGTACTTAATTCGTTCCGGAGGTGTGTTCTTAACCTGAAACTGTTCTTAACCTGAAGCACCACTTTAGCTAATGGGGCCTCCCGCTGCTGCCGCACCGCCAGAGCACGATTTCTGTTCTCATCCTGAAGCAAAGTTCTTAACCCGAGGTAATATTTCTGGGTTAGCGGAGTCTGTAACCTGAAGCATATGTAACATGAAGCGTATGTAACCCGAGGTACCACTGTACTGCATTAAGTGGTGATAAAGCAGGTTTTCTGGATGATATGGGAGACACTTTCCTAGGACAATTCTACAGCTGAACAGCTCCTGCCAAGATGAACTATTTCACTAAAAAATCAAATCAAAAACCTACAGGGACAACAGTCAAAATCCAACATATGAGGCAGACTTAACCCATTGACTCTGCACTGGATTCCGGCCAGTTTGTGAGAAGTTAGTCGCAAAAGCACAAAATGTGTTATGGTACATATACACTGTACGCTTTTCCCCACAGTAACACTTTTGATAGACTCACCTCTGACCCACCCCCGCCTGCAAAAATAAGTCAAACAGAAACAGCCATTTGCAACTACATTTTTAAAACAGCCCACTATGTTTGTGAAATATTCAGTTATGTAATATGTTGCTTTCACTCCTCAATCCATCATAAGGCCTTGGGAAAGTTGAGGTTTCAAATATGTAATCTCAGAAGATGATAAATAAATCTGACATTAACAAAACTTCAGGTCGCTTTTCTATCAGAAATAGAGGATTTCTTATTTTTTTTAAAAAGCATTAGCTTACTTTGAAAAATCAAAGAGGATATTTCAGGTCCAAAAAAAATCTGCATATTATACCTCTGTTCAGGCATGTTACACTAGTTCCTTTTTAGCAGGGAATACTGAATACTTGCTTGACCGTAATCATTTTCCAGTATACTCAAGGGATACTTTCTGATTGCAGTATGTTAAACAAGTTTCCTTGATAAGTATTATTTGCTTATAGAAATCTGCCAGCCTTTGAATTCCCAAGGTTTCTTTAATTTGACTCTACCCAATCTAGACACATATTTTGAGTCAAGTCTTTTACCTCATCCAAACAATTCACACGAACATTCTTGCTTCCAAGCAGTCGTGCAGCTTCTTCAGGGCTTCCTAAGGGAGAGGAAGAGTTTGAGAAGTCTACTGTTAAACAGAAAATCAATACAGTGAATCTAATAATTTGTTACATTTGTATCCCATGCTTCCTCCAATGAGACCATGGTAACGTATGTAGCTCTTATCTCTTCCTCCCCTTATTACCTTGTGAGACAGGCTAGGCTGAGAAATCATGACTGACCCAAGCCCATCCAATAAATCTCAGGGCTGAATGAGGATTTCAGCCTGAACTCCTCACTCCAAATCATGGAATCATAAAATTCTGCCGTGATAAAGTATGAGGCACCTGTCAAACATTTGCCCTACTACACATGTAACAACGTTGCATGACACTTTTGTAAAATTATTTTCAGAACAGGGGTTATTGTTTTTGTTTGTTACTACGTTATGATTTTTTTGTGTTTTTATATTGTAAACTGCCCTGTGATCCTCAAATGAAGTGTGGTATGAAGATTTAATAATAATAAATAAATTTGAAAATAAATAAATAAATTTGAAAATAAATAAATAAAAATTTGAATAAATAACAAACAAAAACAAACATTTATTCTATTCACATGCAATGCTAAGCTAAAGTATGACTTAGTGCAGGCACAGGCAAACTCTGCCCTCCAGATGTTTTGGGACTACAACTCTCATGATCCCTAGCTAACAGGACCAGTGGTCAGTGATGATGGGAATTGTAGTCCCAAAACATCTGGAGAAGAGTTTGCCTATGCATGGCTTAGTGTAAATGTGTGGGTTCTTGGAGAGGTTATTAGGGTGTAATGTTTTTGTTTGTTTACTATGTTAGGTATTTATGTGTTTATAGTAAACCATCCTGTGAGCCTCAGATGAAGGGTAGAATGGAAATTTATAATGATGATGATGATGATGATGATGATGACGATGCTACTTTGCTTGTCCTCTGGTCCTGCTGCTGCCCTGCTGCCATGAGCTAAGCCATGATTTAGTTTAGCATGCCATCCAAACCCATGGGTTTGTGGTTTGTCCCACTCCAGACAAACCATGAGTTGTGAAACCAAAAACAAAACGTGGTTGCAGCTTGCAAAGTGCAATGGCTGAAATCTCTGCTCTGGGAACCCTCTTTTCCATGCTAAGCCACAGTTTGACTAGCGCTGTGTGTAAAGAATCTGAGTAGCTACTTCCGTACGTAGAAAAGAACACATTGTTCCCCTGCTAGTGATTCCCAGCAGCTGACATTCAAGAAGCATTGCAAAAAGGCAAGGCATTATTTCCATGAATAGATAAAGCACTATGACCGAATAAAGTAGCATTCAACTAAATCTATCACATGCAGTTTTGTGTGCATCATGTGGCTGCCTCCATCCCCAATACCAGCAACTTGCAGGTGGGATGAGTGGTGGCTCTTACACTAAGTCAGTTATGATAACAGACTCTGAAGTCACGTGACCTTTACAATACAAAGATCACATCCAAAGGAAACAACAACCTGCCAACCTGGAAGTTTTGGTGCCAACACCTCACCCATTAGTAAACAAAACAATCACCTCCGAAATAAGGGGGTAAACTGAAAGGCATATTTCCTCCATCCGCCAGTTAACACTCTTTTATAGAAGAAGCATGTACTCCAGCAAAGGAAGGGAAATAACTTTCCATGTCCTGCTGCTGCAACAAAAGTGCTGCTTAGGAGCAGCTGCTGACAAGGTCTGCCATACCTCTGGAATAGTATGACAGCTAGCAGAGTGTTGATTTTTACACTGGTCACTGCAGTCTGCCTTACTCCTCTCTGCACTCCACAGCGAGACTTTCCTTGAATGCAACTATTGAGTACACACTGTGAATTTAAAGTACCCCCCTAACTTATAATTCCCAACACCCATAAACTCCAGGTCACAAGATTCTTGGGTGGGTGGGTGCTAGAAATGTGTGGTATGTAGGTAGAGCTCATTCAAATATTTACTCAGACATGAGACTCACCTTGACCAAGTCCATAGGAGCCAACTCTTAAGGGCCGAAGTCTCTTTGCCCCCCCAATAAAATATTTGAGGGGGCTGCCCTCCCGCAAATGGGCATTGCCATTCAAATATTGTGTGCATGCCATGTCTTGTGATTGATCATGTGGAGCTTACCTGGACCCTCCAATATTTTACCCAGGTTGGCACCTCGGCCCAGTCCGTCTCCCTAGCCCTACCTTGCAGGTTGGTTGTGAAAATAAAACGGGGTGGGGAGGGGGGAGGGGGAGATCAGAAGAAAGAAACATGTTGAATCATATGAACTCCTTGGAAGAAGGGGTAAATGGGATAAAAAGGAACAGAGTCCCTTGTCTCATTACTGCAGCCCTGTTTAGGGAAGTTTTTAAATGTTTGATCATTTATCATGTTTTCAGCGTTCTTTTGGAAGCCACCCAGAGTGGCTGGAGAAACCCAGCCAGATGGGCGGGGTATAGATAAATAAATATTATATATATGTGTGTGTGTGTGTGTGTGTGTGTGTGTAATTTAATATTATACAACATTCACATCATCTTTATCCACTATCCTGCCCTGGCTCTTAGAGCCTATCGACTTCCTTCCCTCCCGCCTCATGGCTTTCAAAATTAACCTTTATATCATTGCCATTTATACGTTTTCCAATTCTAATGACACTCATTACAGAATGACTCAAAATTTAAATAAAGATAGAAAGATAGAAAATTTCTCATTACAAGTCTTCAGAAGACATTATTATTATTATTGCCTTTTTTGCATGAAAATATGCACGATCTGATAAAAAAAAGCAGCCGGCGTGCAACAGTCACGGGGAGCAGCGGCCAGTCAAAGCACACGAGAGAAGGCGAGGAAGCAAAAACCTAGGGGAAAAGCCCCCCCTCCAGAAGCAACCTCCATGCGCGTGAGCGCGGGCCCGGCGCGCAAGGCCCAGTCGCATAGACTCAAAAGGCAGCCGACACGCGTCACTCCGCCTCTCGGCTCGGCCTGGAGCCAGACTTCCCTTGCCCGCCTTACCTTTCCCAATCACTCCCAGCAACTCCTTTTCCTCCTCGCTCAAGTCCCCTCTCTTCAGAGACGCCATAGCTCGCTGGCTGCCTTATTTCTTCCTCTCTCAGCCACGCGCGTGCACCTTCCCCGCCGCCGCCGCCGCCCTCCTCCTCCTTCAACTGAGGAGAAAACTGAGGGCAGCCCCCGCTACCCCGCCAGAGCAGAAGCAACCTCGGCGCGCGCCCCCCGCCCCTCGCGTCGCGCTTCGGCCAGAGGATATCCCCCCTCTACGCCCGCGCCAGGATCCCCGCCGCTCGCGACATTGTAACTTCCTCTCCCGGAGCTGTCGTGAGAAACAAGGGGAGGGCGGGTTAAACCACTCGCTCAAAAGACGGGGTGTGTGTGTATAGAATAAGTAAACAAAGCGACGCTCGCTCCCAGTTAGCATCTCAGCCTGGGAGGGGGGGGCGAAGGAGTCGGCTTGGACGGTGCCTAAAGAGGAACGCGTGTGGACAGGAGAATGCCCAACTGGACATGCACAATTTCCTTTACTTTTATTTCCACACACCCCCACTGGTAAAATGGCGCGGCCGGGCGGGGAAGGAGGCGGGGCCTGAGCCGGCGCTCTGCATGTGTGTGTGTGTTAATGTGTCCGTCCTTCACTTCTCCATTGTCTGTGGCTGCTGCTTGTGGCGGAGGCGCTGCCGCTGCTGTTGTCTCTTTGCTTCTTCTCCTTAGACAAGAGCCACTTCCCCCAGAGAGGTAAAAGCTTGGCAGTGCGGGGAGAGGGGCAGGCGCCGAGGTCGGGGCTGGGGGTGGGAAAGAGGGTGCGGGTCCAGGAGGAAGGGAGACAATAGCTGGGGAGTGTCCGCGAAATGCACAAAAGAGGCAGAAGCGCGCCTGCACGACCCTCTCCTGCAAAAGGCAGGGGGAGAGAGGGGCGCTGCTCCTCAATTGCCTGCTGCTGACGCCGGAAAAGCAGGGAGTTCAGCAGGCTGGGATGGTCCGCTTTCCTCTTTCCGCGGTGAACTTCGAGGTTGCGTGTCTTCCTTTCGCAAGGTGACACGAGACAAGTCGGGGGTCGGTGTTGCGGGTGGGGGAAGCTGTCATTTATATGGGGTAGGGGGAGAAAAACAACAAGCCGGGATGGATTGAGCGCCTCTAGGAGAGGGGGATGCTGGAGGGATAGCTCAGTCCGTGGAGCACGAGACCCTTCAGCTCAGGGTTGTGGGTTCGAATCCCACGCTGGGCAAAAGATTCCTGCATTGCAGTTGGGGGTGCCGCGGTTGGGCTGGATGACCCTCGTGGTCCCTATGATTTTATCATTCTGGCGGCGAATTGCTTCCTGGTTGCTTTGGCCGGTGCTCGGCAGTGGCTGCTGCATGCGAAGAAACGTGTCGTGTATGGGAGGGTTCAGACGTATTGCCTTCTCCTTTCTGCATCCTTGGCGGGAGTCCGTTCTGCTGGGTGCAAACAAGCTTAGAAGGAAGGAGTTGCCTTTGGTCCCTTATAGAGCCTTTCTGGCTTTGGTGAGGTGGTGGTGGTGGGGCTGCAACAGACTCACTGGGCGCTGGCTGCGGTGGGGAGGACGCGGTGGTTGCTTCGCTCCGGAGCCGTGCAACAAATCTGTGTGTGCGAGGAAGAGGGGACGGTGCTGCCTTGTGTGCAGTTTTATTACCGAGGCGCCATTGGCACTCCAGAGACCCTAACCTGCGTGGTGCCACCAGCTCGCCTGGCTGCATGTGGGGAGCCAACCCAGTGTCATCCCGAGGCTGCAATCCCATACCCATTCTCCGGGGAGTAAGCTCCATGAAACTGAATGGGACTTGCTTTTGGTGCATAGGATGGCGCTGGAAACGTTTCCCTTAAAAAAAGAGAGAGACTCTTATGAAATCTGGACAGCGATGTCTTAATTTTCAGGCTTTTAAAACGAAGGTGTGCTTCAAAAGTTGGCTGAGATTCATTATTTAGTCATCCTAGTGGTTACAGGTGTTTTGTAAGCCTCTTGGAGGAAGGAAAAGTCTAGACATCGCTCAGCTGTTTACTTTCTGTTTACGCATTAAATTGGAGATCTGAGTTCTTTGAGGGAGTTCAGATTTTCTTCTTCCACTTTAAAAAAAGGGGGGGAGGGAGTTGCGTAAAAGCAGGAAATATCATTTTAAATACTTGTTTTATCCGCTGGATACAAGTCACTAGTCTTGCTTAGCCCCGTGGATTTCTTGGAGATTAGTTTTTAGGATTGGGTAGTTTTGCAGCCTGCAGCCTAAATGAATTACAGTACATTGAATTTATAAGTTAAGAGCCTTTTGCTGCTCTTTTTTCAGTTGAGGATTAAGGGAATTTCTGCTTGGCATGCTTGAGTTGTAAATTAATACACCTCCTGCATAATACTATTTTTGGTAGGCAAATTGATTTAAATAACATTTAGATCTTGAACTAGAGAAAAACTTGTGTTGAATGCAGTCTGATCCTAAACATGCTTACTGAGCAAGAAGTCCAGTTGTGTTCCATGGGGATTTAGCCCCTGCTAAGAGTTCTTCATTTGGAATAATAATAGTTACAGGTAGGTAGCCATGTTGGTCTGCTGTAGTCAAAACAAAATAAAAAAAATTCCATCCAGTAGCACCTTAGAGACCAACTAAGTTTGTTATTGGTATGAGCTGTCGTGTGCATACACACTTCTTCAGATACTTACTGGAAGGAATTTTTTTATTTTGTTTTGGAATAATCATGTGTACTTTCTCAGAGGCCAGAATGGGATGAACAATGGTGTTTCCCCTCTTCTTTCAATGCTTAAAGGTAGGGTGTGATATCAGGCAGTGTTTGTGATTTCTGAGCATGGAACCAGAAAGTGTGGTTAGTCTACAGTACACATGCAGCAAGCAGAATAGGATGATGGGCCATAGGAGTGAATGCAGGAGGTGCTCTTTTTGAATGGTTCCAGTGTAAAACCTCACTGGCAGTAAAACACACACACCCCTCTTAAAAAATCCCAATAATGCAGCAGAGTGGAAGGTTTTAATTCAGCCCCTTCCTACTCTGTAAAATTCCCACTAGTCGGGAATTTTGTGTATAGTATTATTGAAAATGTGAGTTGTAAAATAGTACAACCCATTCTGTCATCATACTTTCAGATACTCAGGGCCATATATTTTTATTTCCCACTCCCTTAGATATGCTGTGCTTTAAGGTAAAAGGTAAAGGTAAAGGACCCCTGGATGGTTAAGTCCAGTCAAAGGCAACTTTGGGGTTCCAGCGCTCATCTCACTTTTCAGGCGAAGGGAGCCGGCATTTGTCCACAGACAGCTTTCCGGGTCATGTGGCCAGCAGGACTAAACTGCTTCTGGCACAATGGAAACCAGAGTGCACGGAAACGCCGTTTACCTTCCTGCCACAGTAGTACCTATTTATCTACTTGCACTGGCATGCTTTCGAACTGTGAAGTTGGCAGGAGCTGGGACAGAGCAACGGGGTTTAGACCACAGCACCACTCGCATCCCTGCTGTGCTTTAAAGACTCTTTGATGTAGTATGTCATGCAAACTTTGTGCAAAATGTATAGTTTTCAGTCCTTTAACTGGAAATGATGCAGCTGTTGAAGTGTATGTAAGTTTGCATGTCTTCCTTCTATGTATGAACAAGACAGAATGTTAATTTATTATATAAGATTTATAAAGGACTTTTTTAAGAGGAAAAATAATATAGTAAAGTTACTGCAGCTTAACAGTTTTGTAGTAACTCAGTGCCAAAGTTGGTTAAAAAAAATAATTTCAGATTCCATGGCGCAATTAATTAGCATAGCTTGTACCTGGATGACAACTCTGAATTATTTACATTGTTGAGGCAAAATGGAAAAACCCCTCTTTATGGCTTTCTGGTTTCTGCGAATTCACCCACAATTTACAAATATTATTTCCTTGGGGAAATGACCTTCTGGGATGCTTTATAAAAAGCAAAATGTCATCACTATGTTCACAATAAAACCTAACTGTAGTTTGACTGGAAAATAATTGAAACAGTAGTTCAGGTGTATTATAACTAATTAGAACTTTTGTTGTGATTATTGCTCGACCTTTAAGAGATAGGCCTCCTCTCCCACTTGCAGATGGTTGCTAAATGCGCTTTATATCTCTTGATTCCATTATGCCTATGGCACACACTGGCAATACTTGTAATTAGATGTGCTCCTTCATGTAGACATTTGATCATCAACCCAGTCATCACATGCCATGGTTAATGGTTCACTATGAATCCCCACTAATGAGTGAAAGCAACAATTCACACACCTTGGCCTTATGTTTATGTCTGCACAAGGATCCTGGTTTGCCTCACTCCAGCCAAACCACAATTGGTAAGCTAAGAATAAACAGTGGCTTCAGATAATGGCTTGTTTGGCGTGAAGCAAACCATGATTCCTGGTTTGGATAGAACACTAAGCCACGGATTGTGGCCTGTAACTTCTGCTCCCTAGCAGGTAGGAGTGATCTGCACATCTATGGAAAACTATTAGCTTGACTGAATGCAAGCCAGTAATGAATATTAAAAGCCATTCAAAGCTGTGGGCATCTCTCTTGCTTGTGCATATTGTTTGCTGTGGTTTAAAGTAGCAAAATCTTTAGGCTGGCAAAATAATAGTTTTTGTAGTTATTACATGCATGGAGCAATTAAGTAATTTTATGATTTTCATTTATATACATTTTGCTAGTAGTTTAACAGTAAATCAAACATTTCAACACGACTTCTTTCCTCTTTCTGCAGTTCATTAACTTTTTTATCCTCATTCCATGCATATTCCAAGTTATATTAAATCATTCTTTTATTCATCTATTTTCATGTATCTATATTTTAAAAACTGCAGGTTATTACAATAGTCCTGCTGATGTTTTTATCTGTTTGCAATTTGTTTGTAAATATTCAATATACCATTTCCATTCCTTTTATAAAAAATTGTTATCCTCATTTCTTATTCTTCTGGTAAGTTTTGCCATTTCTGCATAGTCCATAAGTTTTTGTATCCATTCTTCTTTCGTTGGGATTCCTTCATCCTTCCATTTTTGGGTGCATGTAGCATTTCTGAATCACTTATTTTTTTCTGACAGTTTTCGGTGCTTTATGGTTTTTGTCTCAATTTGTTAATGAACAAGTAATTACAGTGTATGTTAAGCAGTGCAGGGCAGATTGCTAGTCTATGGACTGGTCTAAAGTGTTTGATTTAGAACAGGCAACTTAAGTTGTAAAGCAATAGCTCCCCCTCACCCCACTGTATCCTGAGAATGTTTTCCATC